CTTATTATTCTTTCTGGGTCACAAAATAAACATTTAACATATTTTCAGGCGAGAATGTAGCTGTGTAAACCTCAAATATCTGCTCAGTTTATCAAGACACCACATATTTTCAAAAGCGCCCTGACGTTTTCGGAGACGTCCGTTACCCACTAGCTCGATAGCTAGCCGGGGTTCAAGGCTCACTAGAGCCCGTGAGAACACCGGACTCCCAGCAAATCGTTTTCAAACCCACCGCCGTCTTTCGCTACTCAGGTTAAACATGATATATAAGTCACTTAGATAACTTAAAAATGTTATTGTTTGGCTTTTTTCAGTGTTTTATTTGTTCCTGAGTAAATCGGTTTGGCTGAGATTAAAGTTATAGTTTTTACACAGCTAAATAAACGTCAAGCAGACATCTGATCATCAGAAGTGTGAGATGCTCGAGAATATACTCCGGTGTCCTGTTATAGTTTAGATAGCAAGGAGCAGACGGCTGAGTTTATTAAACTTCACTGAAACAATCCGCACATTTCATTAAAATTTAATAAACTATCATCTTTTCTTTATTTTTAGTTAGCACATACCTTAAACACTTAAAGCTCTAAGCTAATGATAGCTATATAAGAGCAGATGCTCTGCTGGTGCAATAAGTTGTACGTTTTATGTCCAATGGATGCATGATCTGATTAGTCGACTAATCGCAAAAATAATCGGTGACTAGTCGACTATCAAAATCATCGTTTGTGGCAGCCCTAGACCACAATGTAGCCATCTTCATATTGGTGCTTCCAGTAAGATAATTCACCATGGCACCAAGCTCAAATCATCTAAAACTGGTTTCTTGAACATAGCAATTCATTTACTCTACTGTGATGCTGTTATGTCAATATTGAGCAAAATCCCAGAGGAATGTCTCCAGCGCCTTTTTGAATCTATGCCTTGAAGTAATAAGGCACTTCTGAAAACAACAAGGGTCCAAACTAGTACTGGCAAGGTACACTTAATAAAGTGACTTGTGAGCACACTTTACAATGAAACAGATCTGCAATAAAGAGGTAGTCTGCTTGTTTAGCAGTACACTGTCAGAAGGTTCAGGGAATTGTTTCCACTTAAATAGTAGAAACAGAGACATCCTCTTCGTGTTTTCTTGTGTCAACTTAGAGGTTAAACACAGCCTCCTTAATCCAGCACAGATCCAATGTAGACATCATCAACACTGTTAAGCACGTATCACCTTGTTGACAAGTGATATGACAAGCTTTCCATGTTAGAAAAAAAATAATAAGAGTTGGGTTTAGGAAAGTCAATTCTGATCAATAACAACATGCTTCGTTTGGCTGTGATACCAATTTAGAAGATTGGTTTAGCTTTTAAAACCCTGTCCACATGAAAAAGGTTCCCTCCTCCCCCACTCCTTTGTAGCCGACAGTTGGTCAATAGTAGACTTTCCATCTAGTTACAAGTCCATCAAAAGTATACTTCTCAACTTTTAGGCAACACAGTTGGAGTGTAAGGTTAGATGAAGTCACCCATTTTTTTGTTTTAAAATCAGCTGTCACCACAACAAGCCTTTGAATTTCCTCTGACATTTCACAACTCTCTAATTACCATACTGTGATGACACACTATACATTGAATCCAGTCATCATCAAATCCTTTGTTACCAAAAATACAAACATTAGATTTACAAACTGGCCTTGACCTATGAATGCAGATTAACTTTATCAAGTCAATTGGGTAATCTCATTACACTTGATAAAAGTCACTCTATATTAAATATTTAAAACTTATCAAGTCAAATTTGTGGCTTTGAGCTACACTTACATCAAAAGACAGCATAACACAGACCTGACAAAAGCTTAATGACCCTTGCACCACAAAGGCTAAGCATAAATTGAAGGACTACACCCTGAATTATTGACTGAGCTAAATGGCTTATTTCCCCATGGAGAACCAGGAAGGCAATAATGGTCTTCAAGCCAGGCAGTTCAATTTCCCTTCATATATGGCAATCATTAACCCAAACAGCCTGAGCAGAGCTTGGAGTGACTTACTTTTCATAGCAAAGATGGCACAGAATATTGAAAAAAACAAACAAACAACAACCTCCCTCTAACGCTACAAAGCTAAACTATAATAAAATATTTATACATATTTTACAGCAGCTTTGATTTTTTTTGGGAAGATTTTAATGTTTAATTTACCACATAGCTTTGGCTTAAGTTGACACAATATATTGCTTGTGAGTTTCCTAGATACTAATTTCCTGTAAAAGTGCTAATGCAAAGTGGTCAAACCTTTTTAGAAGATGAGTTGAGAGCTGCAATCTGGCAAAGAGTGAGGCTGCTGAATTTGATAGAAATGGAACTTTACAAACAAATAAATCAAAGCAGTGCAGAACAAAGCAGAGTAGAAACAACAACCAAAATACTATCATAACACTGCTGTGATCAGTCATCCAGGTGAAAATCATAACGTTGAGGCTGACCTCTGAAAAAACAATGTGGAAAAACAACAAAGGCACTGTGACCACAGACGACACATGGGAATGTACTTGCCATATCCACAGTCAGCAGGTTTACTCCAACAACCAAAGCTGCCTGAACCTCGCTCTAAAACCTTGTGTTTAATGCTCTGCCAGCTGCTCTATACAACTGTGTAGTCTAGTGTCATCCACACACCACAGTGCCGCACCCTCAGGGGCGAAGACTCAATGTCAGCCACCCAACTGCATGCAAAGCTATGGGCACATATCTGATGTTACCTTTTAACCTGTGTTGTCTGCGGACATGTAAATGATTAACCAATAATTCATAGAGTTTCACTGTGTGCAATCAGTTACCTGCAGACAATCATGCATGCCAAGTTTCATTCTTACATGCACTGTAATGTGGCCTACTTTACTTAAGCAGGACGTGGCATGATAACCATAAAGTGGTCGGTGCATTTGATAGATAAAGTTATAAATTAACACAACTAATTTCCAAAAAAAGTTTAACATTAAATAGAAATAGTAATGAATTAATTAACTGATTTTCAGCACATAACGAATCCACAATTATTCTCCTCTGATATTACACTGAAGATTGTAAGATTCTTAAGTGCTGATGGGTGTAAACAAGTGATCTACTTTTTTTTTTTACAGCTATATTAATACATAATGCTGTATGGTTTTATATATTCAGTTATTGGGACAGGGCTAGACATTCTCTAGCTTCAGCTTCAGAAATACCAAGAGAATTAATTTCTCAGGTTTTCCTTATTTTAAACAGACCTATTACTATTATTATTGCTCTTTTCCAAATCCACTTTTCCCAGCTTGTTTTTATTCTGGGATTCTCTTGTTGGAGCTCTGCAGGATTTCCAGTTCACATTGATCGTTCTTTATGTTAAACTGTGCTTTGGTGTAGCCCCTCAGTTCATCCTTTCCCCCCTACATTTAAGCCCTTTGAAACTTTACTCATGTTTAATATGAGCATTCATTTTAACAGTATATATGATAAATAAATTACATTTTAAAACTCCAGAAATCAGTCCAAAATGCAATCTTTAACCTTGGATCTGATCTCGACTACAATCAACATTATATGAATTGACCGGCCAGATGAATTACAAAATCATTTTCGATAATGACACTTTTTTTTTCTTTCCAAAACTCATCTAGCTGGACTTTGGCAAATACGACAGGTGCATTTATTGCACATTCTCGGTAACTCGGATGCACATTACTTTCGGTTATTTGGCAAACTTGAGAAAAAAAAAAAGAAGTGAAAATGCCAAGTGACCAAGTTAGCTCGCAGCTGAATGTCAGATAATAAAACACAACACAAAAAATTTCAATTTACCTGAATCCCCGGCAGTCCGCTCTGAATTGGAGAGTGAGCCATGGCGTCAAGTCAGCAAAGATGACGCCTTTCCTCGTCTTTTCACCTCTATTTATCAGAGGTATAACGTTTCTTTCCTAACAACACCCTGCTGTAACTGACAGAGCTCCAAACTATGAAAGACGTGCTACCTTATTAAAAGACGTCTCCAAACCAAAATAAAGTCAGGTTCACTTGTCGGCTCCTACTTTGAACCGCCTGCCTGCTTTCTCCTGACTCGCCTTCCGCAGTTAACGTTAGCAGACGTTAGGTAGGCTAGCGACTTTAGCAGCTGGTTAACAAACAGTTAGCAAAATAACTGCGTTGCAGCGTCCTCTCCGCGCGTGTTTGACAGTTTCCGGGTGAAAGTAATACAGGTGTGGCATAAAATAATCGCGCAGAGCGAATACATGCAAACTGTTATAGAGTTTGGTCGCTTGTTGTTCTATTCTCTCATCACTTTTCTCTCTTGCCCGGCGCCATCTTGGTTAATATCATTTTCGTTTAGCGAAGGACCAATCAGCGCGAGGCACAGCAGATGTCGTCATTCGTAAACCAAAAAACGTCACAAGTTAGTACCTTTCACTTTTCTGCATGGACATTTTTCTGGGGAAAACAAAGATATATTTGTTGTGATTTTATTTTAGTCATGCCAAAACGGAAAAGCTCATTCTGTTCCCAAGAAACTACAGAAACCAAAACTGCTGTCCTACACTATTTATGAGCTTAAACAATAGCGCCTTTTCTTATTTCTTCTCCTTCTTTCAGCTGCTCCCTGTAGAGGTCGCCACAGCGGGTCAACTGCCTCCATCTCACCCTATTATCCTAGCATCCTCCTCTGGCCTCTCTTCGTCCCCAGCCTGCTCAACCTGAGCTGCCGCCCCCCGTCATATCCATACTGACAAAAGTGTCAATTCAGTCCAATTTTTTTAAATTGATATTTAATTATTTTTTAATTTGAGTGGGTGAAAATCTTTACAAATAAGTGTCAGTCGTTAAAATTGTCAAAGACATGTTTATAAAAGTCTGCTTTTTTTCCTTTTCTTTTTTAAATGACATCTATATTCTGTATATTTTTATGCATAAATATATACATTTAAGTTAAATGTATATAATACGTGAATAATGTTATAATAAGTAAATAATGAGGGAAAAATTGCTTTTACTTCTTCTGTTTTATTACAGTATGAAGGTAAATACCAGCATTTTACACAAAATGCATGAAAAAACTGCACTTACCTAAATTTGCATTTAATAGCTCCTGCTACTAAACTTGATATTTAGTTATAAATGGTAATGTTTAATTAGCTTTCCTTATAGTAGCTACACTATTAAAATACTGCTTAATGTATGCATTTGAATATCCGTAACAATATTTGAATACTAATCTAATAAGGATAGCTTATTCTATACGCTTTCCTTTCCTGTGTTTGGGGATATTTTGTTGATAATAATTTCTATTTTTCTCCATAATCCACTTATAATTTAAATTCTCTAAGTTCTTTAAATTCATGTTTTCTCACTGTTTTTCTCCAGACAGTGGTTTCTTTCAGTGTGCTGCGACAGAGGTATGTGACGAAATTTCCAGAGAAAGGAAATTTTACACTATAAAACTGTTGGTCATTTGCAACACATCAATGTCAACAAACAAACAAACAAAGGCCTCATGCTGGTCTTATACTGGTATGAAACTCTTTCACTTGCAGTATGGCTCATGGGACTGGGGTGCTAAACCTGGCATGTGTCTCTCCACTATAAATGCAGTGTTTTATATTCCAATGATCTGTCTTACCTACTTAATAGGGGGAAAAAACTATCTACCTACTACCTTAGCTACCTGAAAATGTTATAACTTACTTACATGGAAGCTGTAAGGGAAAATTTATATTATACAAAACAAGTAGTAATACAGAAGCATGAGAAGTTTATGATTAGGTACCACAGTTATTTGACATCTGAACTAATTACACTCCAAAGTATGATTTCACCAACAGTGCATTAACTGAAAAACAAAAATAAACAGACATAAAAAAACATTACATTGCAAACTTTATCATTTAGTTAGTAATAATTTTGCTGATCATTTTCTGATATTTGAACATTTTATGTTCACATGTGTGAGCTTGCCGGCATTTCACTGTAATTATTTAAACAAGCAGCAGATGATGTTTTGTTCAAATATTGAACATATTAGTAAAGGCAATAGTAAATTATACTCTTCCTAAAATAATATAAGATTTTCTGTCTCAATCACCAGTGCAATGGCAAGAATACTTCCACTGATAACACAGGTTTTTGCTGCGTGATATTGGTGCTTTTTGACTTGAAGACTGAATGAGAAACACATGGAAAGGATGAATGATTATGAATAATGATTATTTAATCATTTTTTCCTCACAGCTTACACACGTATATTTGAAAAAGCAATTATATCCCATGACATATAATTGTTCTTACCTTATTCACTTTTTAATTACTATTGTTTATATGAATGCCTCTGCCATAACAATATAAAATATTTCACAGACACACACAACACACACACTTTCCCCTGTACACTTTCTCTTATTCACTAATAATGCATTTTTTTAATGATCTGCTTTTATCTTAAAGTGTTCACATATTGGATTGTTTGTAACTGTCATCGTAGCTTTCAGCTGAGTCTCTCCTGACCATCTTGATCTCTGCCTTCTCACGCTTGTCTTTATCATCTTCATCTTCATCAACCTTTTTACTAAACTGGTCCTCAATTTCTGAAGGGTCAATGTAAGTGTAGAAATACGCCATAGTGGAAAAGATGATGCACACTAAAACTAAGAGAGACGCAAAAAGGACGTACTCTGCCCACTGTAAAAGAAGAGGAGAGAGACAGGGGGACAAATACAATGTTAGCATTTTTGCACATGCATGGCTTCTGCATGTTTGATATGTATTTGATATGCTGCATTTTTTTCTTACTTTGTTGGGAAGTTTTGCAATCTCAGCCACAATCAGGACTATGAAGTTACCAATAGCAACTGTAAACAACCAGCCGGCTTGCAGCACCGCTTTCATGTTACTAGGTGCCTAAAGTCACAAAAAAGGGACCCAAAATGACAAAAGTCGTGGAGAAAGAAACTATTTCATAGACTAATTGACTTGTCGTATAAATGTACCTGTGAGTAAGAGAACTCCAGACCAGTAACTGAAAACATCACTTCACCAGCAGTTATGAAGAAGTACTGTGGGATCTGCAGGGCCATGTGAACTGAGTTGGGTTCTATGTCCTCTACCACAGTAATAGAGTCCTGACACTAGAATAAATAGATGGAAATGTTTAATTTTTACACGTGAGAATCCCCAAGATAAAGCACAATAACACCAATATTTCCATTATTTGTCTGTTTGTTCATTTGGTGCTCTTTTCTCTTTTCTTTTCTTTCTTCTTTGGATGATCAAAATTCATGATATTAAAATCATTTGGAAGACTTACATCTGGTCCAAAGACAAAAGTGCTGGGTATGAAGAAAGTGTATGAACCTCCAAATCCAAAGTCCTTAATGTATTCGCATGACTGTGAACCACTCAACAAGGAGAATTTGGTCCTGATCATTAGAAAAGAAAATATTGCTAAGAAACTTTAGTACTGTTTGCATAAATTATTGCTGTGTTAGTTAGTTAAAGTAGAAACATAATTCTTACTCTCCATTCTTTATTGTGGAATAAGTGGAGTAATAAAATGGCTCAATTAGTCCCAAGTCCACTGCAGAAGTGGTCACGTTCACAGGCATGTTCATTCCATTTACAAATCTGAAATATTTACATAGTGAGCAACAGCATTAATAAAGTTACATCAGTGTATGCAGTTCCTATCATTTTCAATGATTTATTTAGCACATAAAGATTATGATTGTAACTAATATGATTTTCTGACTTGATAAAAGGTTAAAACAATTTTAATTTCACTTACCGGATTTCATTGTTACCTTGTCCTGGCTTGGAAGTCAAGTCCTGAGTCTGTGAAAATATAACATTGCATACTTAATAATTTAACAATTAAAAGTCCTCTTGTGTGTCTTTGAATTCATTATCGCTCACCAGAAGCCATTCATCACTAATAACTGAGGGAATAAGAAGAGTTTGTCTGGATTCCCTCTTCAAGAAGATGGCTTGTGTCATCCCAGGGCTGCCAACTGAAACAATGATTCGCTCTGTTTCAAATGTGAAGTATTTGTCACTGGCCTGGAAAACCGAGAAAGTGTTTAAGAAGGTCAATCAGTGGTAATATTTTGTACATAAACATATTTTCATGTCATTTTCAATTCGTTAATAGACCGTATAGTGTTATGAATAAGACGACATACCTGAGCTGCATTAAGAGTCAGCGACTCGTTGCCCGGCAGATTGACTGTGACTGCACTGCTGCCCATGTTAAGTAATTTCAACTGACTCTGGGAGGCAGATGGAAACACTGGCAATGTTTTCTGAAAAACAAGGAATACGAGTTTGTTTTTCCAAAACTCAAAGAGTCAATAAAATGAAGTGAATTAAAGTTTTGCTTATTTTACAACACATATCTTTTTTTACTCACATCAATTTCAACCTGGACCAAAGCAGCACAGACAAAAGCCATAGCAGCCAGAAACATCCCCACTGTCATTCTTTTTAGTGGTCTGTTGGATTAACATGAAGTTTTGTTACTAACTTTTGATTTTATATATTAAAAAAAAAACAATGTTTATTTTAAGTGAAAAGAATAGTTTTCTTTTAAAGTCATCTAATATCTGAAAATTCAACATTAACGTGAAAATTTGGGGTTTTATTTAGATTGTGTAGAAATAGAAACAGGTGTGCAAGCTCTTCCTTTCCCTGTCTTCCGTTCTTGTTGAAAAGCAACATGATTCATACAGCTCCTTAGGCTCAATATTAATGAAATTGCTGCTAACAGTGAGCTAGCTTAACACAGTCATTTTCAACATAGGAGTTTGAATCACATCTCAAAACAGCCTAAAAAGCATTTTAGCATTAGACCACTGTTAATAGACCAAAAGATTTTCTGGACAGAACACCTGACATTTCAGAAAGGTCAGTTATTATTCAGTGAGTCATGAATAAAACTACGGACATTTTTGTATTTGTAACATCTATAAAATCACAGGCCGTGTAGAAGTTATGGGGTAGCAGCGCTATGCTAACGTGGACCGACCACCTGCTAGCTTCCAGACGTGGAATTAACTGTAATTTCATCATCGACCATTTGATGAAAAATATTAAATGGAGCTGATCTATAATGATGAACTTTGATAGCAGATCAAAACCGTAACAGTAAAGGTCTTTTAATAACCCTTTGAAGTTAATGTTATGGTGTTATGAAACATGTAAACCACAGATACTGAACGTAGTTCATTGTATTTCTTACTTACGTAAAGTTAAAGCCACATTTCTTAATCAGGGGGTAGATTACGCTGTCCATGATAGGTACCAGAGTCAGGATCAAGATGGGGTTGAAAATCTTTTAAAAAATATTACTGCATTGTTAGTATCCTCTTAAATAACATGTATTATGTCATTTTAAGTCAATACGATGAAGCTGCTTTAACTTACCTGCATTTGATCGGGCTGTATAACAAGTTTCCCCTGCAGACATAAGGACAATATTATAACATGAACACACTGTATTGGTCAATTATTATGATTACTTTTCGCTGCAAGCTTTTATTTTATTTTTTGTTACCAAACTTACAAAGTATCCATTCATTGTGGTAGCTTGCAGCGTCCATCTGGATCCCTTTAAATTAGACCACAATTTTAATTTCCTCTTAGCAGCAAGTGATTTAAATGAAGCCCATTTAATTTAAATTAAAAACAAAATTTACTGTACCTTTTGGTCAAATAGGGTCCAGAACATTGGCAGTGGGATGTATAAAAAGAGGACTTTCAGCACCATTTTGATTTGAGCAATCAGGAGTTTCTACAAAACAGGCAGACTGAATGTAAACAAAACAACATTATTCTTATAAGACATTAGAGAAATATATAAAATGAAACTTACATCATATTTTTCCTCTGCCCAGTCCATCCAGTGCTGTCTCCTGGGGTACTGATTGCTTCTGTGCCTGTAGCGGTTTTTAATGGCAAACTGAGAGAAGAGCAAAGAGTAATACTGTTTTTAGAAACATTGATTTTTAGAGTTGTTACAATAGCATTTATGGCTGATTACATAAATGCAGAAAAGGCTTATATAAACAACTTACCCCAATACATTTACACACATCCAGCATTATGTTTCCCTCCGGTTCAGCTTTGTAGTACATACCACTCCCGACAATAAACACCACTGTTAAGGGAACATCACGGGCAAATCATTAGTTTCAGAATACAGTTTATTTACCCACCCTTTACATTTTGCTTCATGTTTTGAATTAGTGTCCTAATAATTTAGACATACCGAGTGCAACCACCATTAATGCTGCGGGGACACCGAAAGCCAGGGAATAACATTTCTGCTGACTGTAGATGCCGCACTCCTGACCTGCAGATAGAGGCAAACAACTTTCATTCAACTACAACTTCAACTAAAAACAAGCACTTTTCCCTGCATGATTATTAGAATGTAATTGTTGTCATTCCTGCATGTTCATGGCACTTTAACTTGATATTTTACTTTAAATGCCTACCTCTCAGGATTGGAGTGATAATGGTGGACAGGAGACTCCCACCATTGATACAGAGGTAGAATACAGAGAAGAAAGTTCTCCTTTGCTTATCCTGTGTAGAAAGACAAGTCAGTAATGTGTTTTGCAAACAGTACAAATACTAAAGTGATAATTATCTATGTAAACCGCTGCCTTGTTGGTGTATGTCTTTGAAAAGGTGGTCGAGTTGTATTAAACTCATAATATAAATGGGTTACAGCATAAGCTTAGTATAGCTATATAAGTGGTAATTCTAGGCTTTTAAATATTAAATAACAACTATTAGTTAAACTCATGGTTCTCTAAAGGTTACATGGGTACAAGATTGAGGAAAATGAACAATTTGGTAACTATAGTAACTTAATCACCAATTTAGGATTGCACTCCTCTAACAACATCAAACACCTGTTTAGCCAAGAATATAGATCTCTACATTACTCACACTACACTTGGCTGTGTTATACTGGTGGTTCAATCCGGTGTGTCCCACTTATAAAGCTTGAATACATTCACTTCCTAATTACTATAATTTCTAGCTTTTATATCACATCATGTATCATAAAATAGTTCACGTTTAATTTTAGATTTATTCCATATTTTGATGAACAGCACATTATACAGATGTGACATGCTCTTGTCTTTCCCTCAGATTTTTTTCTTATTTTTAAACTGTAATGTTCACAACCCAGAGACAAAGGTTTCTTGGACTTTACAGACAGATTTCCTAGACCCCTTCTTCAGGAGCCACACATGTAGTACTGCTACCCATCGTTAACCACCATCACCTCAAATTTCACATAATACTCATAATTCCCATCAGCCACATCTTTAATTTGTGTTTGGCTTGAATGTAGAAATGTTAGCATGCTAACAGGTGAAATAAGAAACATAGTAATAGGTATACCTGTTCGTCAGTTTTAGAATTGTCATCGTGAGAAAGTGAGTGATGACTTTGCAATTTATCTGAGCTCATTTTTATTATCACAGAATTTGATAATGGAGAGTTGCATAGAAACCAGGGGGAACAAGGGGATATATTACATGCAATAAAATACTTGAACTATGGATGCTGAAATTACTCGTTCAACCACACGCCAGAGGTTAAACATTAGAAGAAGACTCAGCCAAAGAAAGTATTTTGAGAAAGTTAACAGTCTAACCTGGTGCTCACTAAATTGGTCTCCACCAAAAGCAGCCACACAGGGTTTAATGCCACCAGTGCCCAGAGCAATGAGGAAGAGACCCACCATGGACAACGCACTGAATGTGAGGAAGAAGAAATGAATGAGCGCGGTGCATTGTAGAAATATATGATGGAAACTGTGACTCAGTAATTTAAAACTTCAGAAGAAAAGATACCCACACATGAAAGGTCATGTTGTCTGGTGTCCCATCTCTGTTTGAGTCGGTAATGTCATGAACTGCACTGACAGCCATCGCAACCTGTCCAATCGTATAGACAATGGACAAGTAGACGATAGTCCTGAGTGAGGAAGATTGAAAAACAGAGCAGTGAGAAAGTACACGTGTATGTTCCTTAAGTAAAGGCTCCACTCGTCTTTACAAATGAACATTCAGAATTTAATTATGAGCATTTTATTCATTAGAAGACTAATACAAATTTTGTACTGTTATGTGTAAAAGTATTCAGTTAAATGCCCTTTGTCTGTCGTATTATTACACAGTTATCAGTATCTGCGAATATGTTTCTAATCAGTTCAGTAGAATTGAAGTTACCTTGGTGCAAAAAGAGGATGGTCGGGTAAGCGCTGTAGCTATACTTATTTAGATTCTGCCACAATAATAAGGCTACAAGAAATAATAGGATGATAAATGTCTTCATGCATTAAAGAGGAACATGATCTTGTGACTCACTTGAACTTTCCCAGCCAGGAGTCAGCCACAATGGCCCCAAGGATAGGGGTCAAGTAGCAGAGAGCCACAAAAGTGTGGTAGATGGATGTGGCCAAGTCTTCATCCCACTGCAAGAAGTACTTAAAGTACAACACCAACACAGCTGTGGACAGGCAGGGAAAAGAGGCCTTCTTATTTAATTATTAAATGTACATTATTTATGGCACAGGTTTTGATGTTGCCTTAAATTATGCTAATAAGGACCGTTGTAGTTCACGCAATAGTGTTTTCCTCCAAAACAATCAAATAAAGGGTTGGTTTAAGCACAAAAATCAGAGGGTTAAGTAGGCTACTTAGAAATTCAAGTGTCCGTGTTCACTGTCATGGCTACATTATTCATGGTTCCTGGATGAAATGTTCTCACCTCGCATTCCATAGTAGGAGAACCTTTCGCAGAACTCATTCACAACAATGAAGAAGATACTGAGTGGGTAGCCACACACATCTTTGCTCTGGTGGGTGGTGAAAAAGTAAAAGGATGAACACCACACCAAAATAAAAGCGTACAAAACTAAAACTAAACAAAAAAATACTTGGACCTGCATAAAGCTGAATCGACGGTGTTGAGGAGTATCCAGAGAGTTTGTGGAATCAGTATACTTATTCTAGCTAACTGTTTGCAACTGGTTAACAGTAGTTACTGCTAGGCACTACTAGGTAGCTTAATTTGAATATCTTAGCACAATTTACTAATAGATTTGAATGTATCGCTGCAAAATAAATAAGAAGAAATTTGCTGATAAAATCAATACAGTAGAATAAAAAACACAATGATTGCAGATAAACACTGAAATGCTTAAAGTACAAGACAAACTTGTCAAAATGTAGCGCTTAATTACATAAATATAGAAGAAGAATGAATAGCAAAGTACAGCATATGCAACGTAGAAGCATAAATAACTTTAGTGCTGAACTGAGGTTCTTACAGAGGTACTAACATTTAGTTAATAAAAATATATCTTTATAGCTTTATTGGTATTTATTGCAGCAATAATACAGAGTTGGTGTATAAAGTGCTGACGTCTCCTTTGTTCTTATGTAGCTGTATAAAAAACCCAAAACTGTACTTTACCTTTCCTTTACCTTTCCCTCGTTTCTTGGGATCTTCTTTGTCTATGCAAAAATGAATGTAATTCTTATTATGATTAAAAAACAGAAATAAGAGACTAATATGCAGGCCTACCAACTTCCTCAGTGTTATATAAAAAAAGCATTTATCTGTCAATGATTCATTGTGTGCAGTAAACAAGAGAGCGATAGATATGTAGATAGATAATTTATTGGTCCCACAAAGAATATTGTTGTGTTACAGTAGCAGGATAAAGAATAAAAAATGGTACAGTCTATTAAAAAAAACAGTGCAGTTAACAAAAAAGGTGTTACTGGCACCTGGTAAATATAGGTACACAACGGTGATAGAAAAAAAAACAAAGAAAAGAAAAACTGTAAAAATAAGACTGAAACTGTGTAAGACAGTAGTGCAAATTGCATTAATAAATAAATCTGAGATCCTAATATGTTTGGGATCTTTGTCCTGACAGGTGCATTCACCTGTTAAACTCCAGAACTCTTCATTCTGTAAGTTTTTAAGTTAAGAACATGGAACTTGTTTTCTTTCTGTTAACTTCTCCCTCTTTGCACATTTTCATGTTGTGCAGCAGAATATTTGTGTTCTGTGAATTAAAATGAAAGAGTACATAATAATGCATTTCTTTTAGTCTTACCTGCCATGATGTGAAGCTATCACCTGCTTTCTGCTATAGCATAAAATCCCTTTAAGCTTCCTGCAGGGAGCAGATCATTTATCTTTCTCTGTTCACTAGTGGGAGTGGGAATGTTTCCTGTGATATTGCTTTTTATTAACCCTTGATCAGCTTTTCACACTGCCGACTGTATTATTTTTATGATGGGTGGGAACATGAGATATGGGAGCTAGGGAGTCAGCAATGATCTCTGAGAATAATAAGGTTTATTTCCCACTTATTTCACAAGTGAGCCAAGTGCGAGAATACCACAAAATGAAGTAAAACAAATAAGGACCTATGGATGCAAATGCAGAGAAATGAGTGTATTTTATTTAAAAGCATTAGGGAACGTCTTTGTTTACAGCAGAACAGTGACTTGTGTTAAATAAAGTTTAAAAAAAACATTTCTGCCCAAATAAAAGACAATTTCTGGAACATAAAATGATAAAATTTTCATATTACTTGCACAGTAGGCGTCCTTTCCCCACACCTCATCACTTTGGCAAGAAGGTGAACGTAATCTTTACAGTGTATGAGCCGCACACAGCATGATACTTTGCAAATATTGCACACACTCCTTGTTTTATATACACATTAATACACAACTTTGAATATACCTTTTTTGTATGCAATGGCTTTAAATACTTTAAAACTCTCCCATTCTAAGACATCAAAGTGATTTAAGGTTGAATGCTAATGTTACATCGTAGCAGGCCCTTATTCCAAAATTGCATTTTTCTAGAAATATACCTTCATGTACAGGGAGAGGAGCACTGATGTATGCAGCATATACCATTAATCAAGACATCAATACAGTCGCTTATAAAAGTGAAATATTGTCCATAAAAAACATTATGAAACATTATCAAAATAAACAAAAATGGACTGTTGGGAGAGTGTAGGCGTAATGTAGTGACATGCATATTAAAAAAATCCCAACAGGAATGTTTTTAAAGAAAACACTGCTCAGTCTTTTCAGGTAGAAACACGTAAAGACAAGACAGGTTATGTCTTATCAAGCATCACGTCATCATAAAGGAGGAACAAAGTCCGTGTCCTGTCATCTCTGCTGCAAAGAGTCTCATCTTTGTCTTCCCCCCACCTCCATCACACAGCCACCATGCTCCCTTATCCATGTTAAACAGGTCCAGTGCCTTGCTCATATTGGTCTTCGGTGGCCAGACAGAAATTAGAAAAATGAGACTTGTCTGTTTTTCCCATCAGTTTCTCTCTAGGCTGAGAAGCAGGATTAAGTTCTGGAGTGATAATATGGCATCACTGGCATGCCTGCGTTGGCAGCTCTGAGTTTCACCCAGGCTGACATCAAACCACAGAGGATGAGCTGGGAATGCCCTGGATGGTGGCACTGGTTGGTGTGCCACTGATGGCATTAAAGATGTGAAGCGAGTCTGGGAGAACGCTTTTCATGCCATCCTCCACTGGAATGATCTGGAAAGAAAAGAGTGTGTAGGGAAGAACAGACAGTCTTAGCAAACAGTTACTGCAAGTGAATCTTAATTTTAACATTGCTCTAGTTAGCTTTCTTGCTAAAAGTTGATGAGGACACTGATACTACTCTCATGTATATATGCAAAAATATGACGCTACAGATGGAACACAGCTAGCTTAGCTAGGCAAACAGCAACTTCTGTCTAAATAGTAACAAAAACTGTCAGTTAGCACTTCTAATTAACCAATTAACATGTCAGGCTATTAGTTGGCTTTGAACAGAGCCAGGCAAACAGTTTTTCCTCCCTTTTGAGGTTTTGTCTCGGGTTAAGCTAACTAGCTTGCTGTAGCTGTATATTAACCAAGCATATAAAGACATATAAAGCTAATTTAAAGCAAAGGTATTAATCAGGAAGCTTAACACATACATGAAACCAAAAACAGCTAGGTAAAAACAATCAATCCACAAAACACGCACACACAAAAAAATCTGAAAGCAGAAGAAAAGTTTGTGCATGTATGTATGTATGTACATAAACAAATAATGTAAATTGATGTTACATAGCACACACATTCTGAATCTGATCCACAAACATACTGTTAATTCACACTCAAATACATGTAATGTACACACATATATGTACATGCATATACACGGTACATACTGTGTATGCGTGCAAGACAATAACTCGGCAAGCCAAAACAGAAAAAAAAAAGCCAATATGTGATTGTTGGTGTAGCCAGACGCTGGAACAAGTATATTTAGAACAGGAATGTTTTATGTTTTGATTTTGGAAATTGCTGCAATAGAGTTGAAATACTTGAATGTTAATGGCTTCAGTCTTTGCAAAGGGCACTTCTTGCAATTTCCTGGTGAGCTGACTAAAATAATATTTTATGTGTGGCTAATTTCAGATTTATTGCAGGGATGTAAAGATAAGTCAGTGGCCTGATGAGATAACTGTGTCTCAATCCATCTAGTGTTTTTAAGGTCCTCTAGCTTTACCAGCTTAAAAAATTCTAATGATATTATTAAGAAACATTTGGCTAATTAGAATTGAGAACAAGGACTTATTAATGTTTGAGTCTGTTTTATAGTCTAAAATGTAATCTGTACACCAATTCCACCTCAAGCCACTTTGTACCATCAATCCTTAAGTTGCACAGACATCTGACGGAACCAACAATAAACTGTCTTTATTGCACACGTATTTGTCTTTCATTACCATCATATCTGCTCATGTCAGCACAAAGAGAGAACAGAGAGTGATGTTATCAAAGAGCCCATTATCACTTAATCAATCATATAATAAATGACACACTGTCTACCTGCCAAAACCCTAATTCAGAGTCAGATTACAGGTATAGCATTAGCAACGCTCAATGTAATTACACTATTACTTGGGCTGAGCAACAGCTAATGTACTTACTTGTTCGTGCATGATGATGGACAGCTCTCTGGCTAGTTCTCTGTAGTTGGCCTTCATCTCATCGTGGTACTCCTGCTGGTCTTCTTTGATCAGTCGTTCATTAATGCCCAAACCGTGGCCACACGCATCCACAAAATGCCTGATCGCAAAAACAGTGTTAAAATGTGCTAAAGGGAGATCTGAACAATCTTTGCACAGAAACACACACAGTCATGTTTTCATATCTTTGTGAGGACATCTAATTGACATAATGCTTTGCCCTAGCTGCTTACCCTAACCCCAATCATCAAAAATCAAGTCTAACCTTAACCCTAAACCTAACCATAACCTAATTGTAACCCTGACACTAAAACCACATTGAGCCTCAGAAATGCCTTCAAACTTCTGGGGACGGGAACTGTGTCCCCATAAGGGCTGTTGGTCCCCACAAAGATATGCAAACGTGGTACTCACACCCTCACGTAAGTCAGCGACAGCTCACCTGAAGACCTCTTTCAACTGTTTGACCTTGTTATCAGGATATTTCTTGGCACATGTATCATCGAGAAAAGCTCTGGCATACGCAAGAGGTCCTGCATTTACCTGAGGGCGGATGTGATAGATTTTTTTTTTTGTGAGTATTGTATGTCAGGTTTGTATTGTGTTGCTTTTACGTTTCACAGAACTTAAAAGCAGGCACCTGGACGCTGATGCTGCCCTGCAGTTTGAGCTGCAGACGGATCATGTCCACCTCGCTGGAGGAGCACAGCTGTTTGATCTCAGCCACCTTCTTGCTCATCTCGTCGATGGCAACCTCGATGGGGCTCAGATCAGTATGGTGTTGATACATCACCGCGATCCGTTTCTTTACATACGGAAAGCAATGAGTGGCTGGAGGAGAGAAAACACAATGAGGTTAGTGGTGAATAGCGAATAGACAGATTTTCTTAGTTTTGCAGCTCAGGATCTGTACAGCTACAGATCTGTACAGCCTGTGAAAGCCGCCACATAATAAAGATAAGAAGACGTGCTTGAACTTTTGAATCTTTTGCACTATAAATGAATAAAACCAGATTAGGATTACGAAATGTCCATGAAAAAAAAAACAGCTGACATGTTCAAAATCTAATCAAGATCTTCATTCATCCACAGTGACTAAAATAAATGGAAAAAATTACGTGTGTAATGAACAGCTCAAGGCAGATTTGCTCTGTTGTGCTGCCCAAAAAAACCACAACCCACTCCCCCCCAAAATAGGAGGAGGCAGCCAATAATTAGAGAGAAAAAAGTATCTAACATTTAGGATATAAAGAGATTAAGTAGACTTTAATCAGAAAGAGCAGTTGAAGTCTGATAATGGGTTTATCCTGTATTTATCAGATCACTGTATTTTGAAAACACTGATGTTTATCCAGGCAAGAGACATCTAACAAGACACAACCTGAAGACTGAAAGTCAGCGCTGTTTGACTGAATCCATGTTCCACTACAACATAAATATAAGCTGGGTATTTACTGGTAAGTATAGTCCTGCGTTTGCACTGCTCCTCCACACCGCCTTGCTTTTTGCCCGAAATGGTGAAAGGCATCTCAAAAACAAATCGACGGATGTTGTGGCTCTTTTCAAAGTCCGTTTTCCTGTCGACCAGCTCCTTCTCCTCCAGGTATGGAGTCACATGTGTCACTTGGATGTATGCGTACTTTGAGTCCAGGTCCTTGGGGTTGATCTGCAGAGAATGCATGAGTTTTAAAACTGTATCAGCCTGCGCAAAATAACTAAATAACTAAAAATAAACGATAAATTAACAAAAGTCTCACCCGCCCAGAGTCCTGAATCATCTTCACATTCTCCTGACCAAACTTATCAGAGTATAACTTGAGGAGCCGCTGAGAAATCTCTGAAAGAGGCGTGAATTTGGGTTCTTTGTAGATATACTCCTTCCCATCTTCATCTTCAAAGAAGCCCTAAAAAAATAAAAGAGGAAAAAACCCATATAAGATACTTTCAAATTGTCAGACTAAATGAAAACGCAGCGTTTATCTAATAGATAATACCACATCAAACCATTCATGGGTTGTGAGTGGGAGTCATTACAGTCAAGACATTTTTTTTTTTAAAGATATGAGAATTTGGCCGACTCCAAACTATCCACAACCGTCTATTAAACATTTAAGAACAGAGACCAAAACTACAAAAAAGCCAGTCTTAGGTCGTTGATGTGAGACACGTCAAAGGACCGACATCGGTACATGAATTTCACACAGTCAGTGCATGTTAGTTATTTGTCTTGAATGTAAATGGGAATGGGAATGCCAGTGAGATTTATTAGCCCTTCAGCTGTTTCCTGCAAAGATTAGGATAGCACTAAAGCTGGAAAATACGAGGAATTAAAGGGCTGGAAGATAAGCAATGCACGTGAAACAGCACTGACTGCATTAGCAAAGGAGCACAACACAGCCTAAAACGTCACTACAGTTCCAACTGAAAGGTTGGCTTTCATATTGATTTACCTCAGCCTCTGAGTCAGTAAACTGGTACTGCTACAGGGGTGTGGACAACACACACACATACACATAAAAACAAATGAAATTACTGTTATACCAGAAACCTATACTGTGAAGAAATTTAATGGCATCGATTTCTAAAAACATCTCAAAGATAGAAGCAACCACACCCAACAAATTAATTATTAAATCTTAAAATAACAGTCATTACTAAAACTTAGCAAACTAAAGCATAAACACTTGATGAGTAAATGAGTGCCATGCAAAACAGTCTCCCAAACGGAAGCAGCAGCGCTGACTGCCTGCTACTGTAGCTCGAAGCAACAAACTATGGCTGAGAAGTGCAATGAATTGAAGCAACACCAAAGTCACACACAGACTCAGGCCGCTCACAAGGGCTCACGGGGTCTACTGCATAACTTACCGCTGCCTTCGAAGAGGATTAAAAAGAAGCAGAGAGGTGTATTAGAGCGGGTCTGAAAACACCACAGCATGTGGTCATGCTCGTCAGCATAATAATCGTAACGGAAAAAAACCCCCAAAACAAAACTTAACCTCCTCAGCAGCTGCCGTGCTTCAGACATCAAGTGTGAATGAGTCTAAGCTAGTTGAACTCACCTGGCCAAAGAAAGCCACTCTGAAGTACGTGCCCAGCATCCTCTTCCCAGTATGCATGACCTCCGTCACCTTGCTGTACGCTCGATGCAGCGTGTCATACAGGTGAGCCAGTTTCTGTGTAGAGTCAGTGAACTTGATCAGGATTTAAAGATGCTTATGCTGCACGCTTAGCCTGAATCGAACAGAACTGTTGCGGGGGGGATAAAACACCCGACAAATAGAGTTTGTACCTCAAAGTCCCTCCGCTTCTCATAAATGGGGATAATGAGCTTGTAGATGTCAGAGATGAGCTCGTAACGCTCCGCTTTCCACAGCCCATCTGCGCACTCCTCCAGAAGCTCCATTAAGACGTCCTGAGGGATGAGCACAACAGAGATGGAGAGCTGCTGGTGTACAGTGCAAAAGAAACACAGCTCACAGCGTGTCGGCAGCTCATTTTATCACAATTAAAATGCACCAATTTTAAAGACATACTGAAAGAAAATAGTTGCCTTCTTTGATTTAGTCTTTCTTATAAAAGAAAAATAGAAATAGTAACAGCTTTTGATGTGACTAAATCTGCTTTCCTCCAGCAAATGCGATTTTATTTTATTTTTTCATTTTTAGCACAAATGATCAAAGTACTTCATTAAAGTGGACGTCTTGCATTCCGACGTCCTCCATCATTGCGGCTTCTTCGTCGATGTTTGGAGTCACAACACGAAATGCCGAGCAGCCCTGCTTGAACATGCCTGGAAACACCGAAATATCAGGCATTATTATTCTTCTTTAAATCAACAGGGCTGCTATCTAATAAGCAGGAGAAACATTTCCATCACAGAATACCGAAGTACCTTTTCTCCGCAGGTATTCTGCCACGAGTGCTGCAACGTGAACATAGCACATGGCTGCCTGCAAACAGCAAAAACAAGTCAGGTCAGATAAGCGTGGGTAGATAAAAGCTCTGATTATGCTGCAAATTGGTATCGCTCGAAAAAGCAGCACATAGTAAACAGGGCAGTTTGCAGCACTTGATGGTGGGCCTCGCTGCACGCCACACTGGCACTGGTGCTTTGATACAAAGTAAATACAGTCTCTATCTGATGTTTAAGATTGTTGGGCCCAACATCAGACACAGAAATCAAAAGCAGGACCATTCAGCCACACAGACTTTCACCACAAACCTCAGACAGGTCTCCATTCTTCACATGGATTCGGGCCATGCTGTCAAGCCAGGTCTTGCGCAGCTCAGGTGTGCTGGCATAAGACTTTGCGAGACTGTACTGCAGGTCCACCAGCATCTCTGGATCTCTCTCATGCTCCTTCATCTGTGCTGTGGCCATCAACACTGTTCTGATGCGTTTAGTCAGGTCTTTCACATCCGATGGGAAAGCTGTGTTCTGTTGAAGATGACGCACTAATGTGAGCTAAATCATCGTTAGCTTCCTTTAGGCAAACTTGATTCTAACTGGTTTATTTTATTCATTAAGCTCAGGCATAGTTTTCAAATGGCCTCTTTAAGTGGAACCAGGATGAACCTGTTGCACGTGTGTTCCTCACCTTGATAGTTTTATCACTGTTAGCACAGTTGTTGATTATTGACAGAGACTGCTGGAAGCGAGTACTTCCTATACCAATGACATCTGCTATCAGCTGACTGACAGCAATCACAACCTAAAGAAAAAGAAAGGTCAACAGTTCAAAAGAGGAATGAAAATGCTTGTGGTCTCTAGAATCCCAGAAAATTTGGCTTAAGGCAGGTAGATATTAAAGTTTTACTGTGGCGACAACTCTCTCACCTGTAAATGTGTCCGGACGAAGGACTTGCGACCAGTGTAGTCAAAGTTGCTCTTCATGAGAAAATAGAGCAGATGGGCTGCGTCGCTGCGAATGGAGCTCAGCTTGGAGTTGCAACATTTCAAAATCTCATAGCAGAAAGCAGCACACATGTCTGCACGCCCTTCAAAAAACGTGCACGGGAACTAAGTGGTCAAGAAGACAAAAATCAGTCAGCGGCTTACGTGGTCCTCTCATGGGTTAACAAAAGGAGAAAAATTAATAAATAAGGCGCGTAAGTCCTTCATACCTTGTAAATGAAGGTGCGCAGTGAAGTGAAGACCTGCTTGAGGGCCGTTTCTGACTGATTGATCCGCAGGAAGCAGAGGTGGACATCAAACACCTTCTTCATCAGTGGACTGTGGCCGTGATCAGCACACAACTGTGTCTGTGACATAAGAGAGGATCATCGGATTTAAAAATAAGCCCTTATTTCACAATAATGGGGCAGAACAAGGTTAATTAAGTAAATACACAAAATACAGTGAATTTGTTTGGTACCTTAAAACTCATGATGAAGATGCTGAGTGTGTCCAGGACGGTCAGGCAGACTTCAGTGGCAATGTTGGTCTCCAGCAGTGACTGATTTAACACGTCAGCATCCGAGTGACTGTAGGCTACAAAGACAAGAAAAGGCTGTAGTTCTTTCAATCACCACCAGTACACTCAATGTAAAACCTCTCCTTTGTTATATATGGTCATGTCTCTCAAAAACGTAGCGTTAGAGGCAAAGCCGCTGCATGAAAGTTTGAGTTTCATTCCAAACTGAGGCCAAAATTATCTGACAAACTAAAGCATTTCATGGAAAAATTGTCACAAGCTGGCGAGGCATTTTTTTCTTTATAAACTACAGCGATGATTTTATTTGATTGCATGAAGTTCAAATGTTGACATTCTTTTTTTGGAACGTTTTGGAAAATTTGGAATAAAACCCTTCATAATTCACGAGGACTGCTTTCGCAAAGCGAAATGTAAAAATGTAAAGTTGAGAGCAGAAAATGAGCTGGTAAAGGGATGAGGAGGTTTTGAAAGCTGATGTTCTGTTAAAACAGGCATGCTCTTAAATCAACCAAATCAACATAGCCAGTATAGCAAACGTCCTAACATCCTGGTACATTCTTACCATGGTCTACAGATATGCCAAGAACACTTGAAATCTTTCTTACACTGAAAACACAAAGAAACTTATTATTAAATAATGCCATTTAACAAGATCATCGCCTAACAGTGGACGGCTGCACAGCTTCCTCCCCAGTTTCTTTGAATTTACTGATGCACACATGTTTTCTAAGGCTTTTCCTGCTGGGATGTAGTATAATGGAGAAGAAGAGGATGCCGATGTTGAAAGAGAGGCATGAGGAGGACGAGGGCCCTGTGATGGAGAGTGTTTGATGAGAAGTACAGTATGAGGGGGGGGGGGGGCACTTACTGTGGTTAAATGTGTATGAGTTATCCAGGCTGCTGAGCTGCTGTAAGCGGGCATGCATCATTCCCGCCCTGTTACGGGACACAGGAAGAGTCTGAGACTTCCGCTCATGTGCAACAGGTCCTGCCCCATCCTGGTTCCTGATGAGGAAACAGGATGAGTTAATGAAGCTGCAGGTTACGGTAAATAATACATAGATTTTACAACTAACACTCGAACGCCCTGGGAGTGATTTGAATTTATGAGATTTTAAAGGCAAAAGTAAAGCTGTGAGTGCATGTTTGCCATGCAGTTTAAAGCTGAGAATAATCAAAGTGGTACTGACAGCATTTATTGGTTCAAGCTGAAGCCATGCATGTAAGAATGCGAGAGGCGATGAACTTAAAGCGTCGGATGTGTCACAGCACTGCAACTTTTTTCCTTTTAATGGTGAGAAGTTATCATGCAATTGCTCTCAGTTTCACCTTCAGGCTTACCCAAGCAGGAGAGGGCAGGAGCCAGGTTTTATTTCATTATGTTAAACTTGCCAGCGTTTCAGTGGACAGAGACAGAAACAGTGGTGGGGGTTAGACAGAGTGAATACATAAAGCCTTCTGGGAGTCGTGGCGAGTTCCCAACTGTGATTCAAGTACACTGCGTGTACTCTGATCAAATCAAATTAAAATAACAGTACAGTCAGACTCTTCAATAGTAAGCAACATGATGGCTTACAGACAACAAATAGCTGGATACTCATAAACTGCATAAAACCTAAAAGTTGCGTTGATTTGTCTTCTCATGATAAACAAGTGCTGAGAAGCCTGAAATCCTGTATGGGTGACAGCAACATTACCTTGCAATGTATCTCTTTCCCATGTATCTGAACTGATGGAGGCACACTCTGAGAAATGGAAAGTGGGTATAAAAATTTTTAAAAAACTCAGTTGCCATGTGTTTTTCTGCAATGCGTGTAATAGCTGGTTATTCTCTATAAGATGTCTTACTCGACTAAAGTGAAGAAGTCCATCAGGTCAGAAGATGATGCCTTGTTCCAGTATGTGAACAGAGCATCTAAAAGAGACAGAGATGGACACTGTGGAGACTTCTTTTGGTTTTTTTTAAACAATTAAGTAAAGCTGGAAGAGCAGGAGCTGTCACAGAGATGAGAGTTTACCCTCGGACATGCTTTTGAGCACATGTAAGAAACACATGAGGAGGCTCTTGATCTCTGCCTGGTCCAGTTTATCACATCGCAACAGCGGGCTTCCCAGAGTCGAGGCAGGTTGGTTCTGCAGGACAAACGGGACAATCAGGTATGGATAGAAAAATACATAATCCTACCAGTGTGTTGGCTCCAAGTAAGATTTGAAAAACTAATCAGGTTATTTGAGACTTACCACAGCAATGCCATAAAATCTGTCGCCTTATTTGATAGCATCAGTGCATTTTCACAGTATTTTTGACCATTTGATAAACAGCAATCAATAATACAAGCATAGCAGAACGACTGAATATAACGCTGAGGATTTTCTTGTTTGGCTCTGGCTTAAAACTTTTTTTTATGTAGGAACAACCGTGTGATGTGGGCTCTAAGCATTTGGATAATGATACTATTCCCCAGTCTTTCCCCACAACAGTGGATTTTAAATTAAACAATCAAGATGTGACTAAAGTCCAGATTTTCAGCTTTAATTCAAGGGGTTTAACAAAAGTATTGCATTAACCGTTTAGAAATTGCAGCACACATAAATCCCCATTTCAGAGGCTCAACATTACTTTAGCAAACTAGAATAGCTAAACAAAAAAACTGTTTCTAATACTGCAAAATATTTGGTATCCAATGATTGTCTTTAGTCTAGAACCCCGTGAAATCACCAAATGCTGTATTTCCTCCTTTGAGATGCTCTGTCAGGCTCGTATCACCACCTTCAGTTGCTGCTTCAGTTTTGTCTTTGGTAACTAAAAAAGCATGCTCTGCTGAGATTGTTATGGTCCCTGAAGAATATGCAATTTCTTTGCCATAATAGACTTTAAGGTTGGTTGTCCAGTATGCTTTGGTCAATGTCCTTTTACACTGTAAAGTGCTGCATGATCAGTTTTGGGCAGAGAATGAAACCTAATACTGAGCGCTCCAGTGAGGGAATGCCACGCTACCAAATACAAGTTAAACACGCCAGGTCTTTTATCTGCTTACTTTGCCATGGAATAGTGAGGAAATAGACCTCACCTGGCCATAAAATGCTTGTCAGTAAATTGTCCAATTGCTTATTCCTAAACAGTAATGCAATACTTTTCTTAAATCCTCTGAATAAAACTGAAACCTGCACTCTAATCATATCTTGATTGTTTCATTTCAAACTCACTTTTTGAGGTTTACAGAGGCAAAACTACAAAAACTGTATTATTGTCCAAATACTTAAGAGGTTTTCAGAAGGTCAGAGAACTACACTGCAGTGAAATGATTCATCCAGATGTTGCAGGGATTTGTTCCCCCAGCTGAGGCACACGGCAGGGGAAAAAAACAAAACCAAAGCAGCGGAGCAGCAGCTTTACCGCAGCAAGAAGTTGGCTATATACCAAGCACGTTCCTTTGCCAGCAGTTAGTCTAGACCATGAAACTAGCTGGGGATGACTTCATGGAAAGCATGATGCTGTTGCTTTGGATTTTTAAAGGGTGTTTTGCAGACTGGAGAACTTTAAGGCTAAAATTAGGTTGGAAAGGCTGATGTGAACTTCAAAGTCTGGTACACTTTTGGGGCTTGAGCTATTCTTGAGTTGCTAATAGTTGTGTGTCTTCTTGCCCCCTCAGCAGGGAAATAAAGCAGCTGCTGCACACCAGAAACAAAAGCAGTTCCAACACTGGGTGAAACACGACAACAAAAATCCAGTCCTTTGTGTTTAAATCTTCTCAGATTTAGTTTGAGGCTGTTTATCAGAGAGAGACAAGAAATCACACAGCACGAATGAGAGGAAATCAAAAGCATGCATGCTTATCACCATCTGGAACAAGAAAAGCGCTAAATGCTCGTGAGGCCCTGAGGTAAAACACGTCTGCTTTACAGCAACAGAGAATAAACAGGACAAAGCCTGACAATCTCCTGGCAAAGTAAGGGCTTAGAGTTTAGGGCATCAACACACACACCTGCGCACACACACACTATCATTCCCAGATGGGACACTCCTAGGAGGGACTGTGTGGAGCAAGGAGGTGTTTTGTACTTGAAGTGAACTGCTGGACTGCAGGGCCCTCTCTGGCACACTGGGGACAGTGAGCAGGGAGAAGTCCATGGTGGCACGCTTGGAGTGCACGGAGAGCATGGACTCCTCAGTCTCCGTAAAGAATTGCAGGACATTGACAGAGTGTCTCCGTAGAAACTTCTCCGTCTGCCATGGCCAGCCATACAGTGAAGGTGAGGAGTTAATGGCACAAGTTAGCAAAGAGAGACTTTATGTGGCAGTTTTTCCCATAATAAGGGGACATCTGATGTGCCTGAAGTGCCATTTTGAATTGCATGTTAGACACATGCGTCAAAGAAAGGCTAAATTGGATTTCTAATACATATACATAAACATTTTCTGGGAATCTCAAAGTTCATTCTGTCAAATACCTTGTCAAGGGAACTGCCCTTGTCATTGTTCCTCTCAGGCAGGCTGTTCCCAGAATCAGTGCTGATGAGCGATCCACGAGAGTCGGCGTGGCGCACAGAGTTAATGTTGGGGGTGGACGCCGCATGAGGTGAAGCTGTAAAAAGGAATAAGAGTGAAATGTTAAATAAAATAAACATAAAGTAACCTGAAAGGGAAAAAAAGGAATGTCTTATCATTTACCGGTGCCAGAGATGGCTCCAAAAACATCTTTGTGGAAGCCGGTGTCCAGAAAGGTGCTCGACCTCGGAGGTGTCATCAAAGTGTTGGTATGGAGAGAATCATCTCTTCCATTCTGCAGGACAAATAAAGAGTTTAATGAATCAAACCCACATAAAACACTGTGTGTGTGTTTTTTTTAATGAAAGTTAACAACACGGACAGCTCTAAAATCTCTGATCAAAAGCACACACAATTATATTATATTTATTTGTTACATTTATTTTGTAGTATTATTGAGATATTTTTACATGCATTAAAATTTGGATCAAATGGACACAGCACATGGATAAATACATAATACTCAGAAAACACACTAGGTGGCTCCCTTACACTGGTGCAGTGGTTGACGGTGAACGGCGACACTTCCTTCACATTTAGCCTGTTGACGTTTTCTTGGAGCAGACCAAACAAGGGCAAGTACAGGGTGACTAACCTGGCCTGCTGGCTCTGAAAAACAAAATGAATAATTTAAAGAAATGTCTCAATATCACACACGTCTCACAAACACACTCATTAAGACAGGGGTGTGAAAACACTGCTTACTTTTGAGGTGTAGCGATCGTCAAATGCATGCTTCATCATGAGGCTCTTCAGCACTTGGATGGCAATCTGACGAATCTCCCTGAACTCCTGCAGAGCTGCGCTGGCTTCCCTGAGCAGCAGTCCAACCAGGAAGTGATTCTTGCAGAAGTCATCCGTCAGCGAGTAATCCAGCTGGAGGTCTGTGAGGATAAATGGGACGATAAGGAGACTAGGACTGACCGACAGGAGAAGTAGATGAAGAGTGTGAAAGGAGAAACCCAAAAAACTCACTTACCAATTTGACACAGAGACAGTAATCAGAAAAAAATGATCAACATTTAGAGAGTATAGCTACTGCAGCCAGCTTTAAAACTCATTATAGGCAGATGATTCTTATAAACATCATCAAACAGTCTAAAATGAGGAGAAAACAAAGGGAAAAGCTCAAACATTCATGTTTGACAGATTCACACTGTGGTTGAGCTGCACTTCCACATCAGCAAACGTCGCTGAGAAACGCGACTAAAGCTAGCGGCTGAACAACAGCAATGGTTTCCAGCAGCATTTTAGACACGTAAAGAAAACCCAAACACATGACTTTATTCAGAAACCTTTTGCTTTTATCTTTTTAAAACCTGCATTTGAAGCACACAAGAATTAAAAAGATATCTGGTTTCTCAGGAACGATGGAAAATAGTTTACTCAGTATAGCCACAAACCCCCAAACCAGTTCAAGATAGAAACCCCCCCAAAAAACAAACAAACTACAAGCACACCAAATCCCCCAAACCTGATGATGATGACAAGTAATAAACAGTCTAATCTGACAAGATCATAACCTGAAATCCCAGATGAACCAGCTTACAGGAAAGCTTAAAGAACTGACAGGTTCAGATTTTAGAGGAAATTTGAAACTAATAAACGATCGGCATTGAAGTCACGACACCTTCCACCTACCTACTGGAGTGTCACATGACTCCACAGTATTACATGGAGGTAATGAGGCTAATTGAGGAAAACACAAAACAAACACAGTGTACAGTGTACATTTTTTTAAAGCAAAAGAAATCGACTGCATGAGCATTTTATTTATTTTAAAAAAAACGCTGTATTTTATTGTATGTATGCAGTATGTTCTGTGGGTACAAGTGCTTTATTTTGTAAAAAAGTTCATGAACTACTTTTGCGCTGCTGCCCTTCCACAGCAAAGCATTTTATATATGCAAACACTTTAGCAGTCATTATCACAACTTTCTCACCTTGAAATCTCAAAATCCGTCCCTTTCCAAACGGCATGGGCAGGTTTAAAGGGACGAAGTGCTCGTGGTTGCACACGACTCGCAGGAACTCAAACTTGAACTCAAACAGAGTCTGTATTGAGAATAAACCTCGATTAAGAATTATGGCTGATAATAAGGCTTTGCTTTATGACTTCAAGTTGAATAAATAAGTTGTTATGCAATTTATTTCTATAAAGGCTGTTGCATGTTGTTTTGTCAGCCCACCTTTGGGTCTCCAGGCACAAAACAGTTGATATAGTTGTTGATCTGCTTGAACACAAAGCCTCTGTCCATCAGGTTGAAACAACGCTACGAAATAAAGAGAGCACAGTATATTAGTTACCATTTACCTAAACGAAAAGCACTTTGAAAGCCATCTGTGATAAAGTATCTCTGGTTTCTGACCTTGATGAAGACTGCCAAGCTGTGGTTGGCATTCCGGGCAGCATCTAGGTTGTCCTTGTATTTCTGCGTGATGTGTGGCATGATCATGTTGACCAAGGTCTCCGCAGTGTGATGGAACGATGCAGAGAAGCGCTGGTTCCTGGACAGCTGGAGGGCACAGCAGGTAAGTTGTTACAAATGTTGTTATTCAGCATGAAACATCCCAAAGAACTCCCATGAAAAGATCAAAGGTTCAAAATGTGGGAATTGTGGTTTATTTGAGTCAATCTTACATCCTTCAACAGTAAAGAAATACTCAGACTTTAACTTCAAATATGAATTCATCCTTGTTTTATCCTTGAAACAGAAATAATTTACTATTAGAGCTAATGTAAAAATAGCTATGTAGCAGATAAATGGTTAAAATAGTAAGCTTACATTTACAGATGCATTAAATAGTTAAATGTAACAGAAACGGTAAGCTTATTTTTTTCAGCTCAAGCTTAAAATGATTTCTTTAATCCATGGATTGTGACAGTCCTACACATGAGAAGCAGCATTTTAAGGACATCATAGTGGTGGATGTTAAACACAGGGATGTGGTTGCCTATGGGGTTCGAACAAATGCCGCTAATTAAATTGCACAGCAGTGTGGGACAGACTGTGGATACATAAAACTTCCACTGTGGTGCTCCGGCTGTCCACAACACCCGGCATGCTGCAAACTACTGTGAAGAACCTAAAGTGTAATAAAGCGGGCATTAGCGGACACCTCGGAGTCAAGCGCACATGCTGCGGCGAACTTACCTTTACTTTACAGCTCTCAATCAAGTACTGAGCCATGGATTTGACTAAGGCTTCGAAGAAATACCAGGAGTACTGCACAACGGACAATTATCAGTTAGAGAACAGACGGCTATAATTAAAGACTGTGTAATCCTTTAAATAAGAACAAATGTGCTACCTTGAGCAGCTTGTTACTTGTGAGGAAGTCAGTGGAAGGCTTCAGGATTGCAGTCATGGCTTTAGCCAACTCCTCGTGCACCGTTCGGGTGGTGGAGGATGTGTATGGCTCAGTCTTGAAGACATACTGCATCAGAGACACGCAAAGACAGACATGTCAATTCATACGTGACTATATATAATTATGTAAAGGTCAAATACAACAGAAATATGGATCTGACATGTGAAATTTACCTTCACGTAAGATCTAAGGTAGTGCTCCAAACCTTCCTCGTGGCACTGCGCCACAACGTGAATCATGACTCTAACAGGACGAAAGGCAAAAGCTCAAGTGAGATAACAGTTTCTACGCTAAGATTCTGCTCTCACGACACTGGAAAATTAACTTCCATTCATGAATTCATTCATTTCTCTCTGATCACAGCAAGACAAAAGGGGAAAAAAGGAATTTAGCAGTTATATTTCAGGCAAAAAGGGTGCAGGCAGAAGCAACAGCTTATATGTGACTACCCCTCACACATAACACGATATCAAGCAGATGGCAAACTGAGCTGCTTTCTTTCAATATTTTTAGCATATATAATGATACATGACTGATATTTCAATAACAGTAAATTGCATGGAATTTAATTTGCTCTATAGAGATGAAGCACTTCATGGATTCTTGCCTGGTGACGTTGACTGCCACGTCTTCCTGGGTGGCACTGGTTAGCACCCTGAACAGCTGATTGAGGATGGTGGGCAGGAACTTGATCATCACGTGACTCTCCATGGCATGCAGACTCTGAGATTAAAGCATCACCACAGATATGTTTACAAAGGATTTGTTCACAAACCTTTTGTGTAAAATGAGGGAAATAAATGTTAAAAAAAAAAAACACGTTTAAAATGTGCATGAAAGGCTAATTGAGAAGACCTTCAGGGAAAGCTAATCTACTCACAACAGGAGTACACGCGTGGATAACACTGTGCTAATCATCCACACTGTATGCTTCAGCGCCTGGAACGTGGCTGAGAGCAGATACTGGTGCATCGGTGCCGGCGCACAGGAAACTAACACGAGCCTGCCAAGTAATTTGGCGGGTTGCCAGTCGGCACAGCTGACCTGCCGTTTGACCCTCTGGCTATTGTTTGTGTTCACTGCTCTGTTTATATTATAGCCCAAGAGATGCACTGGACCAAACGTGGCTCTCTGTGTCAACGTTCACCAGGGGAAAAGTAAAGCGAGTTTTCCCGTGGACTGACAGTTAGCGACGGAAAAGGCGATAACTGAGCTGCCAGTATCACAGAAAAATATGGAAAAGACATCATGCAAACTAGGAGAAGACCTCTGACAGATTTACTGGTATCAGCCCAGCCTCTGCAGTTAAACTCTGTATAAACGGGGAAATGGAACAAGCTGTGCACAAACTGTCCAGAAGGGTGCGATATTGGCAAGCCACAACACACGCGCACACAAAAAAAACAGAGATCACTAATCTGCATGCGATTCAGCACCAGCCCAGTGTGACTGTTGCGTTACAACCAAACAAAAATAAGCATTTCCTTCCAACAACAACAAGAGTATATGCCGAATAATAACAACCACTTTGCCTGTATAGCACTTTTCAAAACACAGAGTTACAAACTGCTTCACAGTTTGAATAAAAACTGTCTCAGTAGCTCTGATATATAAGCAGGGGCTTGTCTATTTAGCGCTTTAAATGTTAATAATAGGGTTCATGAATTCTAGTTAACTGGAACCCTTAAATTTTGCAGTGACTGATTTACCTTCAGGTATTTGACCAGCTCTCCTCCTGACGCCTGGGCGCCTGATGCAATGGTTTGACAGTAATGGAAAAAATTGTGCAAATGCTGATCCTGAAAGACAAAGCGAAACAAAACCTTTGTTGCTATGAAGAGCACAAACCGAGAACACAAAAGAAATAACACACTGGTAGGGTGCAGACGAAACAGGGGCGAAAAACTAACCTGAGTGTAGACAGTGGACACAAGGTGGGTGGAAACTTTGAATAACGGTTTTCCTCCATCCACCCATTTCACTTCAGGACCCAAATGCTGTAAAATGAGAAAAAGAAACAGCGCGTTTCTGTCACTACCTCCATAGACATGGATGCCACCAATGGGTGAGTTACTGTCTCTCAAAGCTAACTCCCAAGACCACAACCTGTTCTGAACTGAGTCAAACTTCTGTTAGAGATTTTGGGGAAGAAGTGGCTTAATATATTTTAAAAAGATCTCTCAGCTCTCTCTCCAGCTATATGGAGCTCTCTCAGCTCCATATAGCTGGACAATCATATCATAAAGTGAATGAGAACATACGTAGAGGGACACTTGAGAACTCCTATCCAGTGTCTAAAAGGTGTTTGTTAAGTGGGTTAGCAGCACTAAGCAACTGTCTGACATACAATCTGGACAGAGCATATCCTACTCAGCAGTTTCATATTTGTGCTATGTATAACCTCAATCGGTTTTCATCAGCACTTTCATGGCTAGTAGTGCACTGCACCTTGCTGGCACCCTCCTGACAGCTGAGGTATCCGGCTGGTAGGTTGGCGGCAACCGGGATCTGACTCTCATTCATGATCACCCGACCGTCCTTCAGCAATGGGAGCCAGGCGTAACCAACTGAGAGCAGAGACAGAGTAGGACGTCATCAAATAAGAGCTTTGCATATCTGTGCCGAGAGTGTTATTTTTAATCATGGTGCCTTACCTTGCATCTCAACCTGCTCTCTCTTTTTGGTGCTGGCCTTGCTGTTGCTATCGCAGCTGACGTGATAGAAGGTGAAGAGAAGATGATGCTTCTCGTGGAGCTGGGTTGGCAACTCAATCTTAAACTGAAGCAGAGGAGCACAAATAAACACTCTGTCGTGCATTAATGTTTAGAACTTACAATGATTTTTTTTTTCTTTTAAAGGTTAGGTAGAGTGTGCTTACTTCATCGTAGAATTCAGGATTTTGCTGGTGATGTAACACTGAGGCAAAGGCATTTTTGGTAAACAAGGGTCCTCCAGGCCGGCCGTAGATGCACTGAGAAACAACAACAATAGCCCATTAACTCTCGGACTGATAGGATTATCCTCGGGGGATTTTTCCGCATATTTTCCTGCATGCATTTTACCTTAAGTGCAACAGCCTCTTCCTCATCCGAGTCCCTGAACTCGATGCAGACAGCTATGTTTCTAGCCTTAGGGCAAGCACAAATGGCAAATCTGAAATAAACTGGCTGGAAATTTGCGAGAAACCTTCACAGAGGCAAAACATGTAATATACCTGCGTTCCTACATCAATAAACCAACAAAATAACAGCGCAGAATAAATGAAATACCTTCGCAAATGACTTTTGGCTGTCGTATTTCAAGTGCTTCGGGTAGACATAGAGGTGATTGTTGTAGATGGTGAAAGGCTGAGAACATTTGGCAATGCACGGCACAAACTCCTCCACTTCAAAGAAGATGTTGCTCTTCTCGCTGACATCAAACTGCTTCACAGGGATGTAGGATGAGGTAACACAATCTATAAGAGAGAAACAGGAAAGAGAGAGGGAGAACAAATATACAGCCTGCAGACAATGTAACCTGTCTAGTCTGAGCAGAAGCAGTTCTCATCTCTTATATTGGCTTCATAGGGTGAGTTTAGAGGGCTTACTTGACAAGTCTGGGGCTACGTTGTCAATGGTAACATCGAGGTTTCCTAGGATTACAGGCAGCTTGGCCATCTTCTCCGGCCTGTGGAAAGGAAAATAAACTCAAGTTAAGCCTTTGCTATCGTTTACCACAGGCCGAATAAGAAACAGGCGGCTGACGTCGAGAAATTCGATGAGCCGTATGTGAACACGTTAACACTTCTGAGCAACGATCTGATTTTTATATACTAATAGTCCAGCATTTTGCCAAAACCCAACCTATAGGCTCATATTTTCCTTACAGAGCACCTGCAAACTATTCATACAGTTTATATTAGAGTGGAGAAACATTACTAACTTCCTGAAATCAGCCAGCAGCTTGAGCATATCGTCGTTGGACAGTTTGTTGCTGTCTTGTCTGTATAGAGCGGAGAAGCGAGCAGTTTTGTCAAGAGTCCCTGAAGCATCTTTGAACAAAGGTCTGCAAGAAAAAAAGAAAAGTCAGAGGCATCTAAATTCCTTTTTATCGATTATTATATTTGAACAAAGGAGACTGATAGCTTGCTGGACTACACTAGACTTCACAATATTTGTTCATTTCTTTATTTATTCAGGTTTTGGAGTAAATGTTGAGTGTATAATATGTCACGAGACCACAAATCAAAGAAATCATCATCACTAGAGCCCAGGGAAACAGTTTCACAATGAGTATTAAAAGCGCACCCAAAATTTAAGCATACATTGATATAAAAAAGAGAAAACCTTCAGGAATAGTTCACTTTAAACATCAAATTACATGTTTTTCTCCGGCCTGTAGTGACTTTCATCTTTCTAGATCATGTTAGTGCATGTTGTCCAGTTTTAAAGATAATGTTTGTAGAGGTTTCCCTTGCCCACATGACTCACCTACCGCAGGGCTATGCAGAAGAAAGCATCTATCCACCTGTGACAATGCTTGTAACAGGATGCTAACACTAATGACACGTATGCTTGGGTACGCTGAAGGCCACCAGATGGCGATAGCTCTGGATGCAAAAAGACCTGGGCTCCTATATAAGACTACGGGAAAACACCTTTCAGTCTTGACCTCAGTCAATGCTTTCCTGCTAATTTTATGGGCTCAAACATTAAGTCTGTTTGAACTTGATTTGTTGAAGTAGAGCAATTAATTCTTAATGCTTAATTCTTTCTCTGCGACGGTTTAATCGCAGCAATGTTTGGTGACATTTGGGATTTAAAATCACTATAAAATCACTTCCTTAAGCACTTGTGGAGTTGGTTTATGTCCGTTTGAATTGTGGTCTTGATGTAAAACTCACAGAGATAGCATGCAGATGTATTTAAGGAGGAAAAGTACCTTGCTCCCCAGGCAAAAGGCATCCTGTACTGGCCTAACCGGTTGCATGCCAGCTTGGCGTTTTTCAGGACCTTCTGTGCCACCTGGTGCAAAACAGAAACACGCTTGAGCTTCGACACAAACACGCACAAGCTGGACCTCGTCTCTTACAGTAACTGTAACAATATTCAGCAAGCTGCCAATCTCAACCAGAGTACGCACACATTTGAGAAAACAAACACACGCACACAGTCCTTCGACCAACATGCTGGACTGAATCACATTACTACCCACTGTTCTGCCCTCGGGGTGTGCACCTACTTTGTAGAGCCAAAGTCAATGCTTTTGTTGAGTTTCTGCGCAACTGGTCAGCGATTGCAAACTGGGAAGATTATCTTTGCATAATGTGGAATAATTTGGTGGAATCTGCTGATTCTAGAGGAACACGGGGTCAGTACCTTGGTGGAGTCTGAACTCTTCATGTATGGCTCGGCACAGTGGTTGATACCCCCCTGAAGCACCTTCTCTATGCGGGCCACCAGGAAGATATCTGGGTGTGGGCATGTTACCGAAAACACTCCCTATGAATCGAAATGTTAGAACAGATTTGAATATGTATTGGTAGATTTCCCCAGTGCAGTCATTAAGATGAAGAAAAACAAGAATCAGTGTTTTTCAAATATTTATTTACCTGTCTGGGATACTGCATGGCTGCTTCTGGCATCCCGTGGATCAACCGCTGGCTGTCGGGTCGGCCATCGCCTCCCCCGTTCATATACTGACTGCTGTTATTGGGCATCATGCCCCTGACAGAGGGGTGGTTTAGGTCAACGTGGAAATCAGAGGAGATTTTTCTGCCATTCTGGATGTCAAACAGCGACAGGGTGATGTAGAATGGCTCCACCTGGAGAAAGAGCACAGTGTCAATTTATTAGAACGAGTCTGATAGTCCTGCCAATCAGACTAAAGTACTATGCACATGTGTTAGGTATGCTGTGATGTCTTTGGGCTGCTATGATGGCTCCTTTCATCTTGTACTACACTAAGATATCAAAGTATGACTTGGATAAAAGATACTTTAAAGGATAAAGTATGATGTTGATAAAAAAAAAAAGCAGTGTATTTGTTCCTTTTTGTGCCTACAGGCCACATAAAATGCTCCCAAGGGCCACAGCTAACAATAACTAATTTTACTGAACTTAATGTGATGTGAAACTGGTGTAGTGTAGATAAAAATAAAGAGTATTAAATAATAAAAGCATAAATATAACTAATTACATTGTAGTATTTCAGTGGATCCAGTGTCACGTGACTTTACAGTACATATAAATATATTTGACCACTGGCATCAGAGAAAAAGCTGGACTGATAGACACGTGTCTCACGGACAGCTAACAGCTATTGCTGTAAAATTTCAGTGGAGGGAGCTGCGTGAACGCACTTCGAAGCATTTGCTCTGCGTGCGCGTGGACCATGTTGAAGTTTTAATAGACAGTTTCTGCTGGGAGGGACAGCAGGACATCAGACTTCATTACACAAATTGTTTGCCATTTCTGAGCCTGGAGGCTGGTTGCTATGCCAACGGGAGTCGTTCACCAGCTCAAATAATAAGACAAGTCCATCCGGCCCGCTGTAACAAACCCATCTCATCCATCCTTAGTCAGGCAGATAATGATATTTCTGTTATTTAAGGCCTGATGCGGAAAGAAAAAGAAAAAGAGATCCAGCTTACGTTTGTTGTTGGCCCTTCCTCGTTCTCGGCCACGCAGCTTTGCAAATTAAACGAGAGGTCGTTGCAGTTCACCAGCACACGCTTGCCAAACTTCTCCTCAAACTGCTTCACGTCTGGCTCTATTCCTGAGAAATCGAGTTTCTAAAGATAGTTCAAAAGACGGTATGGCATTAAACTGGGTCGGGTGTTATCACCAAATGGGACAAAGTGAACATTAGTGCGCCTTAATTTACCTGTGTGTCCGGATCCAGCGTGAACAGCTTCAGCCTGGTTTCATTCTTCATCCTAGACTCTATATCTCTTGTGCTCTGCGGAGAAGGAAAGCATTTCCTAAACTGAACCGCAAACTGTCTGAAACAGTGGAAGCGCTGGCCGGGAGATTCACGGCGAGTTGTTTTTTTTATTAGTAGAACATTTGTCATTCGCACCGATCTGGAAGTCAGGCTCCATATTTTACAGGCCGATTGTGCTGTGCAGACGGGGGTGAGAGTCAGGTGGTACCAGCACACATTTCACTGGAGCACACTCTATCCTGTCAAACTGTTTTCCACCCAACTGTTACCACCAGTTTCCATGCACATATGGCTTCACTATTACGTACCACTCATCACAATAACAGCAAGAAGAGCTTTTAAAAAAAACAAAACAAAAAAACCACCATAAATATCGGAAAAATATTTGCAGCCTGCAAGTCGTCAGACAGTTTCCCCGTTAAATACCAGAGAGGATTCTATCCTCAAAAATCATCAAAGCTCCTAATGCTTTTCTCCCTGCTGGGTCTCTTGGATTGGATATTGCTGACTGTATGCATTCTGTATATATTCTGGGCAAAACGCGCTCTTAAAGGAAAAATCATATTAGATATAATCCTGAGAAGGCCAATAGGAGGGAGGGGAAATTGGCTGTGTCACCCTCAACATTTAAATCTAAATTTAAGACGCATGTTTGTAGCAAGGATGGTTCCTTCTGTGCCTTCTTGCTCCTTCAGTGAGGACAGGAGATTGCATGCACATCCAACAGAGAAAGTAGGACCTACCTGAAAGCTGTCCATACTGCCAGAGGAGCTGTCTGACTTTCCAAGATCATCATCTGTCAGAAAATACAAGAAACAATGAGTGTGGGGAAAATATGTAAACCTTAAGAAAAACCACCTAGGGTTGTAAAACCTCTTTAATCACTCACTGACACGTGAAAGTTCGGTAAACAGTAATTCAGCTGTGCAGGAATCACCCGGGACTGAGATGGGGATACTGCAGGTCTCAGTGGCATATTTAAAAGAAAGCTTCCAGATCTTTTCAAGCGCAATAGCGCTTTTATTCTTTCCCCTCTCTCATGCACAGGATGATTAATACAAGCAGAGGAATTAGAAAGATTAGCGGAGTGTTTTATGCAGAGGCATTCAGCCTCTCTGCTTCACGGCTAAGCCTCCTGTGAGACAGGAGGTGAGTATTAAAAGCCTGGGTGGTCTGGTATCACATCTCCACATACTACATGCACACGGCCAGGGAAAAAAAAAGTGAGATTAAGTGAGAAGGTCGCCCTTATTAATAACTGACTAAGCATGAAAATTCTCTTCATTAATCTGCACAATTTCACAAAACCTTTTCCCAGAATAAGGAAGCTATCTCGACAGGAATACCAACAAATAAAGACTCCCTTTCATGTGGAAGAATCCGGACAAACGCACACATACCATCGTGAATGTCTCCATTTCTCTTCTCCTGCATGGCGATTTCAAAGCTACTGTGCAAGATCTTATTGAGTGTGTTGATCCATTCCTCCATCTCCGCCTCGCTGTCTGCAGCCAGCAGGTAGGTGCTCTTATCCTGCATCTTAAGCTCGAAAGCAAACCTTCGAACCTTGTTGTTCTGCAGAGACGGCATGGGGGGGGATAAAAAGGAAGGAAAGAGTTGTAGACAGTGCAGATAAAAACTTATTGAACATTGCAAAACAAGCGTTCAATCATTAGTTATTATTAATCTATTAATTTTGTGTCCCGTCTTCCTCGCCTCACCCCCATCTGTCGTAGCAGATGGCTCCCCCTCTTTGAGCCTGTCTCTGCTGGAGGTATCTTCCTGTTAAATGGGAGTTTTTCCCTCCCAATGTTACCGAATGCTTGCTCATGAGGGGTCATTTGATTGTTGGGGTTTTCTCTGTATTATGATAGAGTCTCTACCATGTAACATAAACCACCTTGAGACTACTGTTGCGACTTTGAGCTATATAAATAAAAATGTATTAAACTGAATTTAAATTATAACGATAGAAAAATAAAAGACCTGTTATTACTGAATAGATTGGATCAGTGGAATCTCATACAGACAGACTGAGCTTAATTTTTCACTTTTAAACATCAAACATCCAGTAGTGAACATAGTGAACATGGCAGAAGGGATGTTTCACCCCCCTCTCTGAAGAGAACACGGCCCCATGAGGCAGTAGTTGCTCTTATTCCACCATCACCCTCACTTCATTGTAATCTACGGTTAAAACCTTCAAAAATAAAGACCTGGTATATATTTCAATATTGAGTCCAAGTTTGGTAAACATGTAAGCATCTAAACTCAAATTTAATTTAAATGCTGCAGTGAGCAAATGGAAGGAACGCGAGTTATGGAGGGACGAAGCATTTACATCTGGATAACAAAGCCCTTCTGCCAGTGATGACCTCAAAACAGCCACGAAGGCTGATGCCACTGCCTCATTTGGGCTTTCGTGTTATTCTATTAAAGCCCATTCAGAACCAATGAGGGCTGACTGAGCTGCAGTTTGTCTATGACGCAGCGACTCTGAGGTCTGATGCTTATTAGGGTACTTTAATAAACGACTCCAGAAGAATTTGTTTTAGAGAAATAGAGGAGCCATTTTATTATTGTCAACAGTCACTGGATTGTGTTATGGTGGTTATCTCTGCAGCTTTCCTGCAATGTAGTGGGAGTGACTGGGAGGGAGAGACAATATCTGCAGACTAGCTGAGTAAACACAGAGAGGGGTGTTTGGGACAGAAATAAAACCAGAGTCCTGATAAAGAGACTTAACCAGTGTCATCACCTGAGGTCGGAGACTCAACTCAGGGAAACTGACTCGACGGTCCTTAAAACGATTCTGTATCCTTACTTTAAAGAGTAAGAAAGAAGAGAGCAGAAAGGAAAACTTTTGGAAAACTGAGTCATAGAACACTTAACATTTTTTAGCTGTTTGTTATTACAAAGAGAGTGCTGGTCAGTTGATATATGACAAATGCAGTGTGTGTTTGACTGTATGTTGGCGTCTTTACAAAGTGGAGGACCAGCTTGAGGCTCAGCTTGAAGCCTCTTTAGCATCTCTAAGCTGCAGCGTTAAAATAAACTGCAGTTATACTCATGGAGCAACTTCAACTGGGCCAGCTTAAATCATTAAACAAGGAAAAGCAGTTTAGCTTTAATATTCATTAAAGTGGACCTATTGTAGTCATTATTTCTGGTCATACTTGGCCTTGAAGCCCCTCAGTTCATCCAATGTGTGGGAAAAAAAAAAACACCCTTTTAGCTCCTCTCTCTTTAAGTCTCCACTCACCTAAGCCAGTTTTCTTCTGATTGGCTAACACTCGCGAACAGAAGACCGCAAAATAACCGCAGTACTTAAATCACTCCCGTAAGACGCATAAGAAAAAAGGATCAAATTAAATGTTCTTTATCACTGATTTATAATCTGGTCCCATTATATCTCAGCTCTTGAGATCTACTCCAGTTTGGAGTAGTCCACATCAACAACACTGAGTGTGTTGGATTTGTCGCTGAGCTTTTTAGTCACACAATGATTTTTAAAAAATAGCCTCAAATGGTTTTTCTTTTTAATTACTGAGATTCTCTGTTAAAAATGAGCTCAGAAAGCTGGCAGTGAAGCTGCTGGACTGAGCCAGGAGCTGCAATTATACGAGCAGGGGTCTTTGGTTGAAAACTGGGCGACGTGGAGGTTCAGCAAACCCGAGGAATGGCACAGCCGCTATAACCCACACACATCTTGAAGCATTCAAATATCCAGCACACTCCCCTCAGCTTACACTTGAGGTAACCCAGCCAGCTGGGTGCCTCAGAGGTAAAAAACAGGTTCTTTCCATCTGTTCACGCTGTAGATAGATGATAATGCATCCAGTGAGCGTTGGCCTACATTCAGCTGTTAGCACGTGGCATTGATTGTGAGGCTCGGGGAAAGTGCTTAGAATCGAGACCTCAGCATTCACCTTGTTTCAACAGCTGACAGTCAGCAGAAAAACACGACCTTGGGGTAGAGCGAGCTCAGGTTTCATAGAAGTGGAGAAGAGAAGCTCTCACGGGCTCACTTTTCAGCAGCAGCGCATCACTGTTAGAATAATTTCAGTTCAAATTTTGCCTGTTACAGATAGTGATTCATCCCGAATGCTGAGAAATAAATTCATACAGAAAACAACTGGAAAGAGGAAATCGTTATAATACCGGTTCATTCTGGGGAAACTGCGTTTTCCCCCAGGGGCCACACTACCACATGTGCAGCCAGGGATATCCCGTTTGGCAAAGCATGCAGGTCATCTTGGGTCAATGAGGTTTAGCAATCACTGCCTTAATGTACCTGAATCACACCCATACAGGAGTCCAAGAAAATAGTTCCTTTGGGCTCTTTGGAGATCTTCTCATCCTTGTAGAAGTTTAAGTTATAAGAACCATCTCCAAGTTGAGTCAGGTGGAAATATCTCCTCTTGAATGACTGAAAAAGAAGAAAGACAGGAAATAAGAATTATTTGTATTTGCAAAAAGATAACTAAAACAGGTTAAACTGAACAGCGAGTGGTCATATGAAGGGGAAAAAACATGGAATAGTAAAATGAGGAGAACTTTCCAAAATGTGAAATAAACAACAAAGATGGCGTCATGTGCTCATTTGGTTCAAAACATTTTGGGTGCCATGATATAAAACAAAGAAAAGAAACAGACCCCAACATTTGAAAAACTGGAACTAGTAAATGTTAAAACATTTGCACAAAATCGATTACTTGGGTTGAAAAAAATAAAAATAAATCATACAGTCTATTAATGTGGTCTTTATTGCCACCTTACCCTCATGGTGACACTGATAGCACTGTTCATGTTTCCTTTATACAGCCAACCCTGTTTAGTGATTCCACCTTTCTGGGAGCCTAAGGAGGCTGTGTCCTGCAGGAGACAAGGACACAAGATCAGACAATTACATAACACCAGAAGGATAATGCATACATCTTAACCAGCCATATAGATTTAAAATCTAGTCGTCTTCATAGCATATGCACAAATGTGCCAATTCAGGAATTAAATCATTTCACTTTTCTTTTTTTGTGTGTGGTTGAAACAAGCTGCAGTAAATAAACATGGAGACAAAGTGCTCCAAACACACACACACATCATGTATACATTTCAAAACAATGTCTGATTTTATCTAAAGAAAAGTTTGTGCGACTTTATTTGGACATTTTTGCGGTGAAGCGGCATACAATAATATGTCACCAATTGCCCCACCCTGCCAAAGCTCTGTCTTGCTGTGCAGAAAGTCTTTGATCTTGTGGTCTGAGATGACACAGATCCCGGCACTATGTAGGACTTTCTCAGTCCAAACAACCAAGGCAGAAGAACATAAAACAAACTATGACTGTTAAACTAAATAAATATATCTCAGCTTTCATAGCAGATCTGTGACACATGGGCCCAGTCATCTCAAACGTTCACGGAGGTTTGTATGAGATCACGCCTTTCACACAAACACCGCTCTCGTGATCTGTAAAAATAAACTAATTAGGGGAATAATGATGAAAGAGGAGATACGGCGGTCAAACTCTATAGTTTGGTCCAGGTTTATATCAGCCTTACATATCATTTGCAGATACACTTTCCAAATTTGAAAGAGTACAATGAGAAGAGCGAATGGGCTTTCAAGATGTTATCATTCGAGTCCGGCTTCTTCTCTCAGCCCAATAAAGCAAAAAGGATTTGCTTTATTGGGCGTTGGCAGGAATTATAATATTTTCAGTGTGGAAGTTTGTGAAGTGAGCTGAAAAGCACCTGGAAAGGTTCAGAGTCCCATTTCCACTAGTCAGTGTCTAGACAACATTTGCAGGTCTGCAGAGAAGCAGAAAAGTCTCTGAGTTTAGGATCTCAGAACTCTCTTTGCCTGAGAAAACTTTGTCAAGGACATGATTAAAAAAAAAAACAACTCAAAAGGCCACACTAAAAATCTACAGTCAGACAAAGTGCAGATAAACCACATTACACAGCTGATATTGAATGCGGTCTCAATGTACGGTTAGAACAGGCACGAAGATTTCTTTCGGGAAATTTACAGGAAGGCTTTATATCCTTTTCTCTCATCTACACGAGGAAATTCCCCATTTAAAAATATTCTGTAGTGTGGGTCGTGAAGGATGAGCCTTTCTATTGTGTTCCCATCCTCCTTTCCCAGATTTTACTCTCTGGGGACTTGCACTTCTTTCAATCAAAGCTCCTTTTATTTACAAGGGAAAATACATTGTGCAGCGCTGAGTTCTAGAAATCTCTCTAAAGATCACGTATTATATTTCAGCTCCTATACTCTCTTGCCTATAGGAGGCACAGTTTGACATATTGTGCAACAAGGGCAGGTCAGGATCTTCATCATACATCCTATGAAGCGGTGTGACCTTAACAATTGTATCTGTAACAGCTCCGTATTATCTTTAAGGCTTTGAAGACTCCCAACAGATCTGAGTGTCTGTCAGGTGACTTATGAGCCTCCTTGTTGTGAATTCCTCCCAGTCATTCCAAAGACAACAAGCACTTGTTTAATCTGTACAAGACTGCACACCCACTCTGTCATACATGAATTAGCAGAGGATAAAAAGGTCCAAATGTTGCACTGGAGCCCTTAAATTTCAATGTGAAACAAAATACATGGTGCACGTGCAACGCTGTAATTACTGTTAACTCTCCTATTAGACACAAAAATGCCTTTCATCGCCGTACAATAAAAACATGAAAGGCGTAAGTGGGGATAAGTGAAATTTAACAGTGCACAACATTTTTGAGGGTGAGGTTCGTGTCATCAAGAGGAATCAAGAAACTCAACTGTGCGAAAAACTAAAAACTAACATGAACTCTTATTTACAGGAACAGTTCACACCCAAATTAAACGCTGGGATTTCTCCCCCTCTCTCTGGCACGCAGTGCCATTTATCCATCTAGTTTTTTTCCCCTGTCAGTTGCCAAGTTTCACAAGGAATTGAAGAACTATGTTAAATATAATAGAACTAAATGACAACCAAACTCAGCTTTTTCAAAATCATGATCCAGTTAATCAAAAAGTCCACAAACTTTGTTAAAAGTTCCTGAGCTATTTTATCTCTTTTTATTGCAACCTTGTTACTGTGCAGGAGGAAACCTGAATCTATCAACAGACTTTCACTAGTGGCATTACAAACATTAATGGAGCTCTGTTATGCACATTGACACACTGGATGTAATTTGGTATCAAACACACGTTTTATTTATTTATTTATTTTTTTAAAGGTACCTTGCTAGTACTGGGTTCGATCCTCTGTTACCTTCAGAGTTGCCTTAATTCTTCATGGGATAGATTCAATAATGTTCCCTGAGAACTAGTCCTTGTTTACATGATAGCATCACATAGTTACTGGATGCACATCCATGATGCTCTGTTGGATTGTGATCGTTTGACTGCGGAGGCGGTTTGAATACAGTCAACTCGTTGTCATCTTCAAGAAACTAGTTTGAGAAGATTTGAGCTTTGTGTCATGCTGGAAGCGGCCATCAGAACATGGATACTACGTGTTATATGTGGCAAAATGGATCCATGCTTTCATGTTTCAAATTCTGATCCCACCTTCCAAACGTTGCAGCAGAAACTGAGACTCATCTTATCGGCAACATTTCTCCAATCTTCTATTGGAGAAGATTAAGCCAGCGTGAACTCTAAGTGTGAACAGTTTCCTGTGTGTAGATGACAGGAGTGGTGACTCGTGTGGTCTTCTGCAGCTGTACTCCTTCAGTGTGTTGTGCTTTTAGAAATGCTCCTGTGCATACCTTGGTTTAGATGAACGGCTACTTGAGTTTCTTTTTCCTTCTTATCAGTTCAAATCAGTCTGGCCACTCTCCTGTGACCCACAGAATTTCTGCACACTGGATATTTTCTTTTTTCTGACCATTCTCTTTAAACCCGAGAGACCGTTGTTAAAAAAAAATCCCAGCATATCAGCATTTTCTGAAATATTCAGACCCGCCTGTCTGGTACCAAAAACTATGCCACCTTCAAAGTCACTTAAGTCACCTTTCTGCTCTTATTCCAAAGCTTGGATTAAACTTCAATAAGTCATTTGGAGCATCTTTACATTCCTAAATGGTCATGTGATGTCATACGATTGGCTGAATAGATATCTGCATTAATGAGCAATTGAACAGGTGTATCTAATAAAGTGGCTAAAACTCCTCATAACAATGTTTGTGCATTATTTATGAATAAAAGAAAAAAACATCCATTCATAAATGTTTCTAAGTTTTAAGTGCTGTTTTGGTCTTTTGATGGTTAAATAAGCACAATCAGGGAGAGGTCAAATATACAGATTTGATTTTTTTCACTTTGAAAGTGTCCCTAAGTTACAGTACGTGAAACTTTAGGCACCCTAGAAACTAAAAATAAGCAATGGGGGTTTCTTCACACCGTCCATATCTTCTGACAAAGAACTCACCTCATCTTTGTCGACATCTTCATCCACTTCAAATACATGGACAGCCAATTTATCAGGCCTGGACACTTTACTGGAAAAACCCAAATACAGTGTAAGTATAATAGCTCAAGGGGAGATATGTCAAGTGAATCTATTCATCACAACAACAAAAGCCTGCAGGTTTTTCATACACACACAGAGCACTATAGACAGCTTACGATGGCTCTTTCATGGCTTTGCTAATCTATCCAGCATGTGTGACTGAAGCGGTTTGGTGAGATCATTCTAATTTTTTTCTTCCCTATTTTTTATAATAAGTCATTTTACATTTTGAGGCTTTCTCAAGAGGAGCACAAACGACTTTTCGGCTCCTCGTGGAAACACAACGCACACACAGCTTGCTGGAAAATGAGCAGGTGCCAAAAGGTGAGAATCACCATCTAAAAATACTGTTAATTTTTTAAACTGGCGACCGACGTCACGATGCATTGTTTCAACTTCCCCAGATTCAGTAAAGTGACAGAACATTTGGCAGCAGTTGTACCAACAAGGTCACTGTCAGCTCATTTTCTAACATGCTGGTTATAAAATAAGGATTCTTTACGGGAGAAGCTGGAGGTGATGACACAATCTCTAAACAATGAGGGTGGTTTCCACACTGGTTGCGTTCAGAAATTGCTCAATGCACTAGGAAAAGGAAACAGTCTTTTAAATGTGTGCAACAGTTATTTGTATGCTGTGTTTCCTTCTAATTAAGTCACGCAAGTTGTCAGACATAGAAAACTGAATAGGCGACAGCTTGCGTGTGTGATCGGGCTAAAAAAACTAAAAAAACAAAAACTGTGTGACTGCAGGATTTAGCTTTAAACCAGCTGTATAGCATAGCAGTTCTTCTTAACCCCTCATAACAATGTGACGGCACCTCTATAACCACACTGTAGTGCTGAGTCGAGGATTTTTTAACTATAGACTTACTTTGGAAGCTGTCGGAAGTCCCCTGAATAGTCCTCATACTTGTAGTTGACCACATGCCAGTCTGACTTGTAGGTCTTAATGCACTGAGGAGACAACAGAAATTAATTACAGACCACTGTAGCACTGCATTGACACAGTGAGGTAGCAATTCAGGGCTATGTGAAGGCTGCAACTGGGTGTCATTCAGTCCCCTCTAAATGTGTTTCCATTTTCTCATCTCAACATGCTACACGAAGCTAATATACCACTAGGATCATCACTTTGATAAAGCTGAAGAAACTGTCGAACCATCTGATGAGAATTTGAGGCTTAGGATGTGAGTCCGTTTAGTCCGAATTGCTGGTGAGATGGTTAACAGATTTAGAAAGCCCTGCTCTTACTTAGTTCAGTGCTGCACGATTTCAGTAGCTTAGTGACAAATAGATGCTTCACGAAGATGTTTGACAGTGTCTTCTTTTCAAAAAGTCTTTCATAAGTTCCAGTAGACAACTCACTAGCATACACATTAGGACAATATTTAATATTTTCAAGCATTAAAGCTTCTCCTTGAGATAAAAAAGGAGGAGTGTATGCACGGTGACTCTGCCACAATCCAACGTCCACCAACACAAATTGGGAGTGTTTCGCTGTCCTCCTTTCCTTGGATAGAAAACATCTGTTCATTGTTAGAGTCAGTCACAAGTGCAGCTCCCTGGTATCTGTTCTACAGAAACTCACGCCATTTACAAGAACTGCTCCTGCAGGGAGATGAAATGCAACCTGATCAGGAGGCGAATCGGAAACAGAGAGGCTCTCGCTGGGCTAATCTCCACAGCTGTCCTGGTGATGTCACACAGCGCTTAACCAGGTGTCAGTATCTTGACTTCAGACAAGGCGCTCTAAATGCTGACCTTTGACCCGGAGGGAGAACTGTCGGTTTTCAGCTGGTGTGTGGCTTAAAAAGCTCTGCTAGAGCTGGATGATTATGATTCATCGTTTTAATCAGCAGCAACTGTGAGTTACTGATAAGTATATTTTTAATTAATCCTGCACTACATCAATAAAATGTCACATCTGGTGAACTTCCTGTGATTTTATTTGCTTTTTGCCCTTTTGGACTTTCAAGATGCCACAGCTGACCAAAACCAGGCTGAACCACTCAACAGCAAGACATGATCAAGGCTCAGCACTGACAGTAATAACTAATGACAGGGAACAAACAGAAGCTTGATAAATTATCAAATTAGTCGAACTTAATTTCCGTGTATTGTACCATGAATAGATTTTACTGAGAAAAAAAAGGGCACAAATAGTCCCGATGCTTCCAATGATGATCTATAACGAGGCTCCTTGATGACTTCCTGATGCGCTATGACTTGCAACATTCATAGCTGCTAATATTAGGTAATATATTTGGTAATGAGCCAAATTAGCATTACTGTAGCATAGCTCTGTGGTTTATGACTGATATAATTGACCAAGTTCTTACTAGCCTGAAGCGCTGACGCCGTTTTCAAACGTCTATCATGAAAAAGATACATAAACAATCATATTAAGTGTACTTACTTACTTTGTGCACAATAGAAACATTTGTTTTGCAAATGAACTTTGGTGTGCTTTACATGTCTTTTGGACCATTACTGTCAACAGGTATGAAAGCAATCTCTCTCAATATAATATGCTAGCATATATCCATGGTACAGTACTGTTTTTACTCTGTTTGTTAATGGTTGCAAAGCTTCATAATCTGTTATCATAATATGTGAGACATAATTCAAGTTTTGTGGATATAAACGGGTCATTTTAGTCTTTTTTCAGGTGGTTGCTAGGTAACATAATGATGTCATCATGTCTGATATAAATAAGAGCCTTCAGGGGCCTGAGATGTCCTTGTGTGCCAATTTTGGTTGCTCAACTTTTGATTGTGTAAGAGTTTGGATGGAAACAGAAAGAGATTTCATGTATTATCATGTAAGATGATTTAATTGGCTCTACTTGGTCTTAGAGTCTATTCCACTATTAAATGTTGTCAGTGGTTCAGTTTTTTGGGATTATTACCCCCAATTATTTCCAATATTTGGATTCAATTATTTCACTGTGTCTTCCTGCAGGCTCTCTGTGAGTGAAAGTCCTTCAAAAAATATCTTAAAAATCAGCCCACCTCTTGGACGAACAGACTCTGGGCCTCCCTCTCTGCATTTTCAGGCACTGTGGGGTACAGGGTTCTCCCTTGCCTCCTCAAAGTTGAAATCTGCGAAAACAAAGCAAATGTTGAAATCGTCAGAAGAAATGTAACTGTGGGATTACAGCAGACCACAAAGGATGACCAAAACTGAAACTGAAAAAAAGTGTGCTTTCACTTGAAATGGTCTTGTGAAATGACCACAGGTTATCTGGGGTTCAAAGCGTGCAAGTAAGTCAGAGACACAGTGGGATGCCTGCCCACGTCATCTGACTTTTAGGCCTACTGATGGATGTGTTTAAGCCTTTCGCTAATGACTAACAGGTTGACTCTGCAGACAGGCAACACAGTAGCAAAAATAATCAAGACCCTGTGGTGTAATTACAGTAAAAAGCCTTTTAATTTTATTTAAGCAAGACCAACACAGCTGCTTTTATCGATCACTAAGGATGCAAATTCTAGTGCTCGACAAACATCAGCATGCCAAAACGCTCAAAACGACAGCGCCAACAGGTTGATTAATGTGACTTTCATGTCACTAGATCCTTGGCAGAGATGTAAAAATGATTTTAATAACCTGTGGAGATGTAATAAAGTAGTCAATCGACTATTGTGCGTAACAACTATGTAACTTTACATTAATTCACACTGATTAGAAAAAGCATTCTTTTTGTTTTTGCTCTTGCGAAGCATCGGTGGAGTTAATCCACAAAAGCTCACTCTGAGCCAGGAAAAAAACCTGCTTTGGAGCAAGCAGTGTTGGATATGACTGAGGTTTCCAAAAATGAGTTTCCCAGTTGTTATAAGAATCTGAAGCTGGAGTCCTGGGTATACAGTATTCACATTGGTTTACTGTATGATTTCTGTTCATCTGGACGTAGCGTCGTCCGCTACGTCCAGATGAACAGAATCAACTTCTGGAGATTTACTTTCCTGGATGATTGAGAATGCGTCAAGATACTGTATGCTTTCTTTTTAGTAGCTTTATGGCTATGGAATATGCACCTCAAAGATCTGAAATCAGATTCACCTGATTTCATTAAAATGAAGCTACACAATGTGATAATAAGTCAAATGTGGTGTTTCGCAGTTACGGGATAAAAGAAGTTGTTTCACAAAAGCTTGTTTTTCTAGATATCTGGAATGACCCCAAGACAAATACTAAAACTGCTGTCTTTGCCTCCCCTGTTGCTCTCTATAAACTTGCATGTGGTGTTCGATCCAGTCCTTACTGTGTTAATGTCAATAAATTCCCCAGCTCTTAATTGTGAACCTTAAGTCTCCCTTTTCCTGTCTGCTACCCATGTTTCCTGCAGGGGAGATAATGATCTTTGCACTGAAAGCAGCAGAAATAAACAGGCATGGACGCAAGAGGCAACCAGGAAGTGGGCAAAAAGAAGCATTTAATTGGACTACAAGTTGCCACAGAGAATTATCAGATCCTCTGGTTTAAAATTCCCCAAATTGTTATGGGAGGTGGCCAAGTTCAATAAGACCCCATCAATATTTTATCTAAACTATCAATCTTCTTTATCCAAGCTGAGCTGGAGACAAGAACTTGACCACTTCCCAGCAGCTCCGACAGACTGAAAAACAAGCAAAGCAGTGCTTTGAGCTTGTGCAAATATGTGCTTGCCTTCATGTACGCCAGGTAAAATATTTACTTAGCAAGCTGATGAACTGTACTTAACTAACACTCACTAGTAGTAAATAGTTATGTCATTAGTTATGCAAATATTTGGTATAGACTGCGTATAATGATTGATGGACAGCAAGTCTGAAAAGTGACACCAGTCCAGTAAAGCCTTAAACCTGAATCTTTCCTAATGGCCAGTGGTAGCCAAACCTCCTTGTTGCTCAGTTTACTTGGATTTTATACCGGCCCATTGGAAAGAAGACCCTACCTCTCACTGGACTTTCATTCTGTTTAAAGTCCCCTTCAATACAACATGATGTTCATTAGATACATTTAGGAACAAATGCAACCTGTAGCTAAATTCCTCCACAGAAATGAGGAATTTGGCTGCAAATTCCTCCACTCAGGATACTGTTCATTCTGTGGAATGGTTGACAGAGAATATCATATCGAACACTGGTGTTACCCTAACCTTAGGTACACGGCAAAGTAAAGAAACAAGAACAATGCTCTGATCTTCAGATTTCACAGTGAAGGGGGGGCCTTAGACAAAGTGCATATATCAAATTGAGGAGAAAGGAAGACTCCTATTCTGCTAATCTTGGACAAATTTCTCCAGGAACCTCACACAGAGAGACCAACCCAACCCTCCCTCCACTTTGCCAGCAGTATCTTGATCAAAAGCAGATGGAGCTGATATAAACATCGCCTACCAGAAGAACAGCTCATGACTTTTGATGAGCCAGAGGGAATAAGATAAGGTAGAGACTTGATAGAGGTTTCCAATACCGGGAAACAGACAAAAACTGGATTTATACAAAAATAACTCAGAGATAGAGGAGGTCTTTCTGCCTCGACTCATGACCTGTAGAAGTGTCTTTACGCAGACTGAGATTTCTACATAACACTCACTGGTCATACACTGACACAACTCCCCCAAAACACTGAAAGCTGATTACAACCTTGCCTGAACAAGAGTCTGAACAGGCAGAAACAGATGTTAAGATCAGTCACTGAGCCTCCCGTGTTTTTTTTTTTTAACCCCCCCTCAGTCAGAATCACCTGTCAGCCCCTGACAACGTACTGTTTGTGTGTGAAGCTGACGTGTTATGCTCATAGCAGCAGGCTAAACGTGGATATGCATGAGAAGTCAGAGTCAAGGCTGTCCTGCCGTCACCAAGCACCCAGCTGCCAGGCCTTACAAACCGTAACAACCGCTTCTCTATCCAGAGTCAATTCCAAAGTTAGAAACACCAAGCAGACCTGCTGCTTTCATTTATATTCTAATCATTAAAACTGTGGCTCTACACACCAGTGACAAGGAATTATTTAAAGGTTATTTTCCCCAGATAGACCCAAGTCCCCATTAACATCCAAACAGCAACTTTGGCAGGTTTGTGGGAAGACTGATCTCACATGCGAAGATCAACCCATGTAACTTAAATCAAGTTCTGTTTGAGCATTTGAAAAAACTGATTATTTCTAAAAGTGTTCATATATGGTTGCAATGATTCTCCAAATCCACAGGTTGGGTCATAACTAAATCTTTAGCCAATGACTTTTAACTATTTTAATAGTGATTAGTAAGAAGTTTATGACAGCATGATGACGTAACCATGACTGGATCATCACCTAAAAATAAAAATGTGTTATTCTGATGTATTTCCAGTTCACTCTTCATTTAAGCAATCATGTTAAGCAGGGCATTCATTACATCACACAAAACACTATGAAGCCATCGCTAAAATACCATTAATCATCCTGTATTTGCAATCTTGCTTAAAAAAAAAAGAAATACATCAAAATAAAACATGCTATTCATAAAGGCTCAAGTTAAAATGTATTTCACCACAAAGCTCAGTAAAGAAACCTTTAAGATCCCTGCAGTTGGCAATTACACATCATTTACAGAGAATGCATCCTTGCTTTGACAAAAAATACATTAAAAATAAAAATAATTTTAAGGCTTATGTTTCACAGTGAAGGTGGCAAAGAGAGCTGGGCATCAAACATTTTGCCCTCAAATTTTGTGATTTCGCCCATGTCTTAGGTAAGGACTCATGATTCGATTAAGATTTGGTGGAGCAGAGAAAATCTCCATCCAACTGTCAGGAAACTCCTAAGTGACCAGGAGTTCAGCACTCACACTTGGTACACAGTATACCTACTACATCTCTGCCCATTAGCTTTTATTTATTATGGATATTATGAATTAACATTTTGCCTAGCAACCATCTACTAGACGTTTACAGACTGAGTGTCATGAGCCGGTCCGTTTCATGCAACACGTGGACAGCAATGCAGGCGAATAGTCACGCTCACATTCACAGCCAAATGCTAGCACATTTCTTCCACTGATATGTCACTAGCTTGGAAAGATTTCACTGTGATTTGAAGCACAAAGTTCACCAAAGTAAACAGTGGTTGAATGGACACTGGAATGTCTGGACAACAAACCCTGTCGAATTACCAACACTTAACCCAACTGAACGTGGATATTAAAAGGAATCCAAACAAAGAAAAGTGGACAAATCTAAAACTCTACAGTGTTCAGAGCCAGCCACAAATCAGCAGCCTCGGTATCAGCAAAGGACCAAAGCAGTTACAAGGAAAAGTACGGAGACAAGTGAAAAAGAAAAAAAGGGATGATGTCCTCTTATCTGCTAAACAAACAAACAAACAAACAAACAAACAAAAAAGCAAGGTACCGGCCAATTAAACTGCAATCCTAGTATCTCGAGCTAAAATGGGCCATTTTTACCATTTATGCACTAACAACTTAGAAAAGTGTTGTATAATTTTCATTACATTACTACCTAATTCATATCCACATTCAATTCAATTTAAACAGCACCAAATCACAGCAACAGTTACCTCAAGGCGCTTTATATCGTAAGGTAGACCCAACAGTAATGCATACATAGAAAAACCCAACAATCGTATGACCCCCCTATGAGCAAGCACTTTGGCGACAGTGGGAAGGAAGAACTCTCTTTTAACAGGAAGAAACCTCCGGCCGAACCAGGCTCAGGGAGGGGCGGCCCTCTGCCCCCTTTTCCCAGTCAGTCACAAGACAACCTGGGGCTGAGATACAACAACAACAACAAACTTTATTTATATAGCACATTTAAAAACCAGTGGTGTACCAAAGTGCTTAACATGCTAGAGGGTAAGATGAAGTAACAGGAAAGGATGAGGGTTATGGCAAGGTACCAAAACGTGCTAACAGGTTGAATGGCATTAAAACACACGAAGGCAAAATAATTGCATATAAAAGCATAAAAGAAGGATAAGTGTAGAGGATAAAACAGTCAATAGATAAATAAATAAATAAATAAAACTGAAATTGAACAAAACTGAGTTTATATCACTGATGTGTCCCTGCACAACAATCCCAGTTTATTGTGTGGCCCGTTATCTGGCAACCACCTAACAACAGACTAAAATGACATTTACAGTGAAGAAGACTCACAAAAATGCCCCAGTTTTTATACTCTTAAAGGGATTGGACAATGGATGGTATAAATCTTATATTTATTCATATAAACAAGAACTACCATATTTTTTTTCTTTACTTTTCTCAGTGTGATTAACTATATCAGTTTGCCAACAGCATGAACAGACCCAGTAATACTGTAGCATAGGTGTGTGCTGGTATCAGAAACACATGAAATGTTTCTGATACCAGCATGCATCAGAAACATGTATCAGCACGTTTGTCTTTTATTCTCACTGCATCAATTCGGTGGTATAGTGTTGATAATAAAGGACCAACTCCACTAGCATAAAATTAGAGCCAATTCCTGATGTAATGCCAAAACATTCCAAAATTTTCCAGGTGAAACTTGTACTTTGCAGTTCCCGTTACAGGAGAGGATGTTGACACAAATAGATTTCTGACTGTAACTCTTTGGATCAGAGCAATCTGAATGACCCGTACATCCTGAGGAATACACATACCATTTACAACTCCAATAAATAATAACTGTATTCTTCAACCAATGTGGGAATTCAGACAAAAGATGTTAAAGTCATTAGACAAACCCAAAAAAAGACTTCCCTTACTGGAATGGTGTTATATTAAAGGCCCAGACTCTATAAAGCTTTGACAGCAATGTGAGACAAAGTGGTAGGGTTAGATCTGAGGATATACTAACATCCTTCAAAGAAGTCTCATTTCCTGAAGTACCAGCTCTGGGCCAGATCTCCATTTTAGATTTTCCAGCCGCAGCGTGGAAAGTGTGAGGGACGCACATCCTGCACGGTGTGGCTGGAGATAACACTTACTCTGTCACAACATGGGACACAGAATGAGCCAATTAAACAGATGGCCCCTGACCCATCTCTTGCTGCAGCAGAGGAGGATATAAACAAAAGGAAAGCCTTTGTCAGTGGCTACACCCATCATCACAATAGTGGCCGCGCCTGGGCCAAAGGAAAAACCACTTCAAACAAACACAAAAAAGAAAACACGCAAGTGGACGAGTAAATATTAATATTGTATAGATACCAGTAAATGTAACGAGCTCGTGTGTTTAGCAGCAATACACAGGAGGACAGTTTAACTCCTGTCTGCCTGACTTTGCACCAGAAGTGTATAGCAACAACGGAAACCAGAGCACTAAAGATGCACACCACCATTTGCTGTGGAACATTTTTCCATAGCTTCATAGCTGCTTCCCAGCAATTTAACCCCAGAGCCACATTTACTACAGCAAGACTCACCATCTATACTTCTGCAAACATAGATGGCGAGTCTGCTGAAAAATGTGCATGAAAAGTTTAGACACTCACCTCAAAGTCCTCAAGGGGGAACTGCAGCATGTCTCTGAGGACATCGCTAAGGATCTGCGTCTTCCTCTGCACCAGCACATTTTCATAATCGAGCGGCTCGATCACCTTTGGTTTTACCTACAAAACACATAAACACACAGTTGGGGATTAAACTACAAAACTAAAGCAAGTAACATGAAGGCACAGAAGAAGCTATCTGTGACATTATTGGATGGATTCAGAAGAGAGATCAAGGAAACGAGTAACAATATGCAAACAATCAGGCATAATAAGATTACTGTTGGCATGCCAACCCCTCAGCATTGGAGAGTAAAAACCCATTAGCTCCTTTCAGTTTTCAGACCTTCAATACTTTCTCATCAACTAAATGAAACTTGACGACAGGCATAAATTGGTTTCAAAGGACATATCAATTTATTATTGCGTTTGTAGAGATGTAGAGATCAGATATAGGAGCAAACTTCTGAATAAAAACTGCCCATTTTTAGCACAGAATATTTAAAAAAAGGATGTGCATTCGGTGCGAGCAAAGAAAAGACTTTCAAACAAAGGCAGTTTGGTGTGTGGTTAACCCATGTGATGATGCTTACACTTACATAGTGGGGGATCTTGATGAATAAGCAACAAAATAAAAAACAAAGCTGGTAAACCATAACTAACAGGAATGCACTTTAAATAAGCATGTGCAGGAGAAGAGATCACAGTCAACAGACTTGGATTTATCCAGCCGTGTGACAGGGCACTATAGGACATGTTTTCTGTTAGATGCACAGTGACAAGTCAATCAGGGCTCCATCTGCCCAGAGAAAGTGCATCTGCTTCACGGATAAGGAGGGTCTCAACGAGCTCAACTCTTTACGATGGCACACATCATACTACACTCCATCTGGACAACATACAGGACATTGTAATTTTTGTCTACGACATAAAGCAATGAAGGCAAGCTGTCAACGCTTTTATCTGTTGGGATGGGAGGATAAATCCAACAACGAGCAAAGAGAAAAACAAGCAGTGACAGATCAGCAGACTTCAGGGCTGAGCGACAGCACTGCTCGCTCATTCCTCCCACATCTGGGACTGATAATGTTAGCATGATCTCAGATGGGGGAGTCATGCATGTAGACCTGCCTGAATCTATGCTGCTATGTAGTAACTTTTGTTAGTAACAGAGTAGAGCGAGGACAGAGGGGGCAGGACCTTGTATCAGTTTCAAGGACAGGGAGGGAATAGGAGAGCAGAGATGGTGCCACCATGTCTGTCAGCTGAAGCAGGTTGTGACATACCAGACAACTTCTTCTCCACGTTTTCTTTAAACACAAATATATAATTATCTGCAGTTGAACTTCAATAAACTGTGCTCCCCTTAGAACAGAAAAAAATTGATGGATGGAGAGATTTCTAGATGTAAGCCAGGAAAGAATTTATGGAAAGATAAGATAAATACGTGTATGTCTTACTTAATCCGACGCCTAAAATCTCCATATCTCCACAAACAATCTGAGAGCCTCTAGAAGATGAAGTCTTAAGAATGTCAGGCAAACACACCTATACTATCATTATTAAGCAATGACCTGGGAAAAAAAACCCAAAACACAATGAATCAGGTTTGACTAAACCAAACACCTGCAATGGATACTCTGGAGCAGAGGGGCCATTCTACTTTATAGGCAACAAATGGCCTGATCTGATCTTACATGAGTAAAATCAATATACAATAAGCTATTTAATAGCAAAACAAACTAAAATTTCCCCTTTTTTTAAGTGAAAATGGAGCATAAGCACATTCTGACAGTGTTTATATATGATGAGCAATCTTAGAAAACAAATGATGAGCAGGCAAGAGACGTAAATCCAGTTTTAACAGTGTGATCATGGTAAAAAAGAAAAAAAGAAGCATAACCTCTTTCAAGTCTGAGGTTTTACCACGTCACCATGTTAGTCTTTGTTTTTGGTTTTTGCTAAATACAGCCAAACCTTGTGACAAACTAAAGATACCCTTAGTGCTTCAACATGAAATAACAAGGTCAGTAGCAGCCAGGTGCTGCTGCTCAAATGCACTCCATTGTCAGCAAGTGAGAGCACCTCTATAAAAGCAGAAGTTTGGGCAGTTTGCTGATTTGAAGCATTTCGATGTGTTAACACAAGGGAAAAAAAATCAAGGTGTTCCAGTCAAAGTCCAGACCTCAAGCCAAATAAAATGCTGGCTGTACCTTAAGCAAGCTGTGCGAAAACAAATACCTGTAGACCACAATGTATTGAAGCAATGCTGTGGAGAAATATTTTTCAATTTCCATGTGCCATTCCTATCACAGTGACGTCATCAACACACCAGGACTGTTTGTCAGGGAAGTTCTGCCATAAGTTTGAGACTTTTGGAATGGAGGGTTTAAGCTAGTACAGAAAAAGTGAACAAGTGAGCAATCTGAGGCTGAAAGATGCCAAAAACAAACCAAATATATACTAGAAATAACCTAATGAAGCCTCTGCTGTATGGTCAAAACCAAGCTAGTAAAGATGTGGTAGTAACTACATTTAAATAAAGTATGTGCTGAAAGATTTGACCCCGTTTTAGTGATGGTGCCCCTTTTCTCACCAGTAATGGATATCTGAACCCACTCAAGTGCTGCTGATTCCCTCCAAACTCCTCTGGGTGCCTCCACATTGCTTTGTCAGTGACCCAAAGTGGTCAACCACACAGTGCACTCAGCACTGAGCGCAAAAGCTCTGTCATTCTCTCAACCCACAGTGCTGACCAGAGTCGATACATAGCCCCAAATTTACACTTATTGTCAAATTAGTCCTTTAAGAAGGTATTTGAAATCACCTGTTGAACAAATGCCTTCAAGACTAACGGTAACGTTTCACTGTCAATCAGAAAATACTGAAGCTCCAGTTATATTTCTTGGTTGTCTACACACCCAAGCAGAAACGTGCAGACTGTATATTCAACAGCTGTAAACTCAAGTCAGCAAACAGGCGAGCCAACCCTGTAAGAACAGAAAGCAGACGCCCATGAAGCCATCCCTTCCACTCCCTCTCTACAGCAATTGGGCAGCTGTTTATCTGCATCTCCCACTCCTCCACATCACTGCACCCTCACACAGCCTGAAACAATGGTGCTGCGTAGTGCCTCTCAATCTTGTCACTGACTGTTTGGTTGACTCTGCAGAGGGCCTGACCACTGGACACCTTCGTTAAAGGGCAGGAAATGATCACTGTCGCGGTCGCTGACTTTTGCGCCAAATAAAACATTTTACGAGCCAAAGCAATCTTTGAGAATAAAGTCGAGGGACCTGCGATGTATTCGCCCAGGTAGTAAAGTGCTAATAAAGTTCAACCTTCCCCCGTGCTGGTGCTAACACTGCAAATTTGAAATGTGAGCTGGCAGCACTGTTTCTATGAAAGGAGGCGAGAGAGTGAACCAGCACAAACGCTCACATGACACCTGCTTTTGGCACTTTATGGCTGAGGTTAACCTTTACACGACTTACTTTCTCGAGGATCAGAGCAAATTTGAGACGTCAGTACTGATTTTCTTTTTTCTTTTTAAATGTAAACCAAAAAGTCTCACATCTCTATGTGAATTACTTGAATGACTTACCACCACCTGTGGCACTGGATCTACCTCAGGCTCAGCTGCAACCAACCTCTTGTACTGCTGTGGACTCTCAATGACCAGCTCCTTTTTTGGAGTTTTACTAGCCCTTCCTTGCATTGTCAACACTTGTGGTAAGATATTTCCAAGACAGATCCCAAAGAGAAGTTGCAAGCCAGCATATCAGGTAGAGAAAAATCTTTGCACTGGAAAAAGTTTGTATGTCTCCCTTTTCAGTCCCTAGCTCACTCCAAGCTACGGCTGCTCTGACTGAAAGCAGTGGACTCACACCCAGGCTGAGGAGATGGCCCCTCCTACACTCAGCTGTGCAGCCTGGGGGAGTTAAACACCCTCTCACCCACACACACATACAATGAAGCTATATGACCCCACACTATCCACCTGCACAGCAACAAAGGGTTAAGAAAAGAAAAGATACACATTCCTCAAGAATTACAGTGTGGTCAGGCACAATCCACGCCTTATGTGGGACAGCTGAAATAAGAGCTGGGTTCAAATTCATCAAAAGCCCAGAATGAGTGACACAACAATGAGGCACTTTAGTGGCACATTAATAATAAGCCTGATCAAGTTTTCTTTTCAAAGGTTAAAGATGAGTTTCCAGGCTGAACCCAAACCCTAAAGATTGTAGCAGGACTCCAGAAGCAACATTTACAAATCTTTGCCACCTTTTTGAAGACGTAAGACTGAGCAGGACATGAATCAGCTGTATCAGCCAATATGACAGAGTTATTAGTCACTTAAATGTTCTTTTTTTTTTTGCCCTCCTGCTTCCAGTACATGACTACAGCCGAGACAGTAGCTGTAATCACAGATGACAGATTAGGTCCAGCTTCTGTCTCCCTGCTTGTTGATGCAACTGCTTAAGGGGGATTCCAGCATGAAGCAGCCCCTCTCAACCCACCCAGGAGTGGGCTCCACCTACAGATTCCTCTGGTGGGCCACCGCAGGAGTGGATGTTATGGTTTCACGCCTGCGCCTCAGTTTAAAGAGAAAGAGAGAGAGCAGCTGCTTCCTTCAAAGGGTTACATGGGACACACTTGTGTAGGTAATTCGATCTAAATCAATAACAGGATATTAAACAGGCAAGTTTATTGCTATAACTTATCCTTATGAAATTAAAGCTGATTGCACCATGCCCATTTAAGGCATAGTGCAATCAGCTTTCCACAGGTAGCTGAAATGATGGCTGGTGAAGAGGTGTTAATATTTTTTTCATATTAACACAAACTGAGAGAATTTATTAAGAACGAATAAATAAAAATCAATCAATTAAATATTTTAAGCAAAAATAGTGGTATAAGCCTAAACACTGCTGAAATGCCATTTTTCTATTGCCTAAAAAAGGCCTTATTTATTTACAGTGAATATCTTAAAGTTCTGAACTTTAAGAAGACAAAAGGCGCGAAGATGTTATGGGGATTTCCTTCAGTGCTTTCTAACTACACTTGGGCAATTCTTGCTTGTCACGTGTCCGAGAATAGTATGGTGCAGTATAAGTATATAACTGCTGGGTAAAAGTTTCCCTTTACTTTGACCTTAGCCCTAACTAACCATTACCTAAACAACCCGAGGGTAGCTCTCTGGTAATACTGAAAGAAAGAAAAAAGACACCAGATGACTGGTGTCTTTGTGCTGCATATTAATTGAATGTTTGGCTAGAATAATGAGAGTTGACAGAGAAGCTCTTTATGCAGGACCTGATATGAGCTTCACTTTAACATATATCCCGATTCCTATACAAAGTAAATATTGTGCATATAGGTGGAAGGTACTTTCCAGAAAACTTGCATCAGGAACTTTCCCATTGAGCTGCATGTTTAACTGAGTCTTTACCAAAAGCAGAGAATCAGTTGAGATGCTCTCTACAGTTGATCCTGACCAATATATTGACCCTCACTGATATAGTCAGCCAATATTATCTAGATTTCTAATAGCTAATAGTTAATTTAAAAAAAAAAGGTAAAGAAGAGGTGGGAGAAACACCAGTCAAACATGTTGAATGAGTGTTGATGTCCTGTTGCTCAGCAACAGGTGCACGGAACGCCGCAAACAAATGATATTGAAATGAATTTATGTTTCATGTGTTTGAAAGAAAAAGAAAAGTATTGGTGAATATATTGGACTTTTTTAATTACCAAATATTGGTATTGATTTTGGTATCGATGCAAGCTCTGCTCTGCAGTATAACTGACCCCTCTCAGTCTTCCAACTGCAGTCCTGGAGCCAGTAAAAGTCTTTACTGTATCACATTCTTCGATTTATACTGTGTCCATCTACAGCTTTACTCATTTACAGTTTAGTACATGAGTAAATCGAGTAAACTCAAATGTTAGCACACATTTGTATGACTATACGTCCCGCTCCACTAAAAACACATAAAGAAAAGAAGAGTAATGCAGTAGATGCTCGACTTTTTGAATCCTCCTAGATATCTCAGCAATCTAACTTATTGAGGACATGCTGGCGTGGCACAACACTCACATTTTTTGGCTTGGTGCTTAAATCAAATTCCGTGGAAACGATTACAAACATGTTTCTTTGGGGCAAGCTGGCACTGGGTCTAAGCAGGAAGGCCCGCTGAGGCCTTTTTAGTAGCAGAACAAACACTGAAGTTGCCAGAAGAACACTCAAAGGATATTTTGGGAAGTGTATTCTGATCAAATACAATTTCATACGCCCTCCTGTGAGTGCGAATAAACTGACGGCATAAATGTACAAAAAGAAGACGGTTTGTTGATGACTCACACTTTGTTGCTGTACCTGTGGACCTGAAATGAATGCTCAGGAATAAAAAAAATCTAACTAAAAAAAAAAAATGTAAACAAATCGGAGCTGTGAGCCGTGTTGGAAACAGTCAGGGAAAATGTCCTCTTATTCTCTATGAGGGTTTTCTCTTGTTTTCTGGAAACGCTTAGAAATTTCGTTTGGTTTCGCTTTGCGTCATTATCAAACCATTTCATGACAGAACTGGGAGGCAAGACAGACAAAATGAATTTGAAGTCCAATATGGCACTTAATCTTGACCTAAATGAGGTAATCCACTTATGTATCATTACACATCGAATAAATTATATTTTATTACAATGTTTTTGCATGATACGATTCACAATGGAAGTTGTAAAATAGTAAATTCAAGGATTTGGACAATCATCAGATGTCCATCCTGGGCTTCAATTTTTCTCTTTGTCTGGTAATAAAAGAAAGAAAAGGGAGGAAATGACTAATATTAGAATAGGTTAAAATATTAAGCAATTACCCACATATATCAAGCTGTGATCCCCACCCTGGACGTGACTATGACTGGACTTCTCGGTTGCGTAACAAAGGTTTGATGCAAGCAGCGTCTGAGCTAAAGCAAAACAGGGCGTAACCTGGAATGTAATGTAGCAAAAACACAGCGCTCCACTACAGCGGCAGCTCAAGCACCCACCCCTCTCTGCTCTGTTTTCGGTCACTTCTCCACACGGTCCTGTACTGTTGACTAAACCAGAGGTAATAAAGATGCTGTACTGTGTATGCAGTCTCTGTTAATAACATCACAGCAGTAGGATGTGGGAAACAATGGTATTGAAAATAACAGGATGCAATCACGAGGCAAAGAGTCTGCAGCAGAGCTAGAAAATAAAAAAGTCTCACTTTACATTACAGGAATGCGCTCGGGAATAATGCAGCTATTAGAGACAGAGAGCAAAATTGCTTTATTGATGAACGAGCCTTAAATGTAACTAACAGTATTGAATACGAATAAAGCTGCTTTTACATCTCTGGGAAAATCAAACTACTGTTGCCAGAATGCCTTTAAAGCACATGAGCCTGAGTGCTGCAGACAATGTATCCCATGTATCAGTCACCAAGTGAGCAACATAAACACTGAACACATGCACTGGTGGTGCGAGGAATGATGCAAGTAAGGCTGACATGTCTCGAAAGTAGGAAGCAATCACTAAGAAAAACAGATGTGGTGTTGTTGTTTTCCTGTACATGCATCAAACACCAAAACTACAAAGAGACTGATCGTAGCGTTTGCCCAGTGTGGTCAGGAGGGGTGTGATGGGTGAACATAATGTGTGGGTAAATATCAAAGAGAAGTCAAGGGATTGAATCTATTTAACTGACTTAATCTGAACAACTTCTGGATGATGTCATGCAGGCTCTGTTTGGTATTTTAACTCCTTAACACAAGGAATGTATAAACATGTACCCATTTGGCAAAGGTCATTGGAAACAGACCATCACAGATCTTATGTTGGGAGTGGGAGTCCCAAAACAGATGTGGACAAAAGGTACTATCATCTTTCACCAGTTTTTCTTTTTCCATCACTTCAAGTGCTTCTGTTACTGAGTGAGTCAACCACGTGACAGCAAGGCTTTCTCAAAAACAACAAGACAAAAAAAATTACCATTGCGCAGGAGCCCACACATGATCTCATATCTGCGACTTTTCTTTGAAGGAGAACGATACGAGAGCTTTCACGAGGAAGGAAAAGGCTGAGCTGTTGTAATCAGCGAGTGAATCAACAAAGCGGTAAACGGGCAATGTCTCCAGACATTAAGCGGCTCACGGACAGCTTCCCATAGTCAGCTTCGTCTAGGATTGTCTGCAACTAGCTGAATGCACGCTTGGCTTAACATCTATGTTTAAAATGCCCAGAAGTGATAACCTGCTGCAATCAGAAGGAATTAAAAGGGCAAACATAATGGCTTGTGTCTTTTTATAACCGGGCTTAATGGATTAAAAAGGTGCAAACAGTTCCCAAAGCAGCACACATCCTGCCCAGTTTTAGACATTTTTGTATGAAGATAATAATAAGGCCAAGGCTCATATGAAAACTAAGAAGGGAGTAAAAGGTTACGACTGCTACGGTACACTTTTTTAAGTAATCCAAACAAAAAGCTTGCCTGGTTTGTGTTTTCTCTACAGCAAATGAAGCGATGAAATCAAAGGGAAATAAAAACTTAAGAGAAATTCAAACTGTTGTAAACCTTTAAACTTTTCCTTTCGCTTCAATTGTCAAAACAAAACAGGTATGATAGCTGTCAATACCTGTCACCTGTTCATTGTGTTTTTCAGCTTCTTAGAATGTCATTCATCAAGTTGGGGGAATGATGATGTAGCTGTTTGCTAATAATAGCAGTAAGCGTAGCTTTAGTAGTGATATATTTAACATTACTGAACTGGTTGGTGTGGTTTTAAGAATTTTGCTTCTGCTAGGTAGTTTTTGTCAGTTTCAGTTCCACTCTGGACTGAATTATATCCCTCGCACATTTTAACTATCGATTATAAGCCCGTGGATGCTGACAGAGGATTAACAGCCCCCGTTTGGGTGATAAGACCATTCCAGAGCCAAGAGAAGCAAGCGTGCCCTTGACCCAATTCCCTGCCACTGTCACTCAGCTCTCTGCTGTGGATACGATGAACCAACAACACATCACACACACAGCAGTGAGTAAACGCAAACGAGAAGAAGAAGAAGACAAGCTGGTACGGAGCAGCAGAAACCCTGCCAAGCCCGCTGGTTCACAGATGAAGAGCGGTGATTGATTTCCAGCAGACACAGGGCTCACTGTCCCTCCTTACCCTCCTCACCCCCCATCCCTGCTCACAGAGGCTTTAACCCGTGAAGTGCTTAGCAAGAGGCAACAGTCGGCCCTCCTACTGCCCTACTTTTACTGGTAACTTTCATAGGTGCAGAGTCATGTGACACAAAAGACAGTGATTTGTACTTGTGTAGCTGCTGAATATAAATAACGGTTGTGTAAATACCATAAGGTTAAATTTAGCTTTGTTTCAATGAGTCTACCATCTGAATAATTTAATTAGTCATATATCAGGTATTCCTTCAGTATGTTAGCAGAGCCAATCAGCAAAGGACATCCTCTGACAAGATTTACAAATATTCAAATAGTGCTGAAGTTGTTATTGATTAGATATTGTCAGAATATACTGATTTTCTCCCTGTTATATTACTTCTGAGGCGCTACAAACATATCTTACCACTACTTTTATGATAGCAGAGCTTTAGTAGACAGAAGCGCCACTTTAAAAGGAGTTTCAAAACTAAATTCAGCGACGTTAGCCATCGCTCTGATTGGATTAATGCTGAGATCTTAGTTTATAATGTATTTTGGCTAAAACCATGATCCAGTTCATTGACAAACAAAAAAAGGGCATCAAACATCCTGCTTTTCAAAATAAGACTGTAATAAAATGTGCTGCTTGTTGATTATTTTTTGGCCTGTTTAATACCACAGTACTTGGTTGGATGGTTAGATAAATCAATAAATATTAGGTTTGTTACTGTGTCCTTGAGGCATTTAACATTATAGTGATTTAAAAAATGAATAAATAATGTAAGCTTTTTTTTCCATATGGATTTTTGCTCAATACACAAACAGTTGTGTTGCTTTTGTTGGTAGAAAAATAAAAAGCTACTATATTGGGTTAGAGAGAGTGCACAGACACACACACACACACACCTTAAGTATTCGTGGTGTTGGCAATACACGCGACTCTCTCCGACTCAGTGCTCGCTCAGCCTCAGACGGTCCAGTGGGCTCTGCTGCTTCCTTGCAGATGTAGCCACTACAGTTCCTCTCCAGGACAGTACGCAGCCCATCAAACACAACCGCGCTGGTGGTGCACCCCATCCCTCCAGGTCCAAACAGGCATCAGTCAGGAGAGCCTGCCAGTGACCCAGTTTCCTTCACTGTCTCCTGCTCCCCTCTGGTCCATGATATTACTCTGACATCCACATCCGCAACTTCTCACCCACACAGAGAGCATCAGAGTCCATGGGAAAAGGATCCAGGGAGAGGAATAGCTGGAGACTTTACACACAAACCTCACGCAGAAGAGTCAAGGCTGTCCCAGTCTGTGCTTGTAGAAATACCTCAGTCAGCAGGCGAGATACAGTGAGTGAGTGAGTGAGGGAGGCAGAGCAAAGAACGAGGGATGGGGGGGATGAAGGATGCTGTGTGAGCTCTGCTGCAGCTTCAACCAATGCTGAGCTTCGGTGCAACACAGGCTCGTGCGTGCATCTGTCTCACTTATTCAGTCACTTGCTTGATCTCCTCCGAGCCACTCTGGATTTCCAAATTCTTCCCAATCCTTTTTTGCCTCCTCTTTTCAATCCCACATTTGCATACCAAAAACGAATTAACCCATTTCATTTTCCACTCCACAAAAATGGGACTCCTTTAGGGATTCAGACAAGTAATAGCAAAAATAAGTGGGTTACACTAAAGGCAGTCCTTCATATCCAGAGGGAGAGTCTAATTCCATGCTCAGGCAAGCAGCAATATGGCTCAATGCTTATTTAGTTCAGCTAAAAAAAACCCCAGACCAAACAAGCGCATGAATCACATAAATGGATGCTATATAATATGCACAATAGTCTGCGAGAGATATTGCAGTAAAACCACAAAATAAACTGAAAATATGATAAGAAATCCTGCCTAACGCACACAAACACACTAAATAAACAAAAAAAGCACTGAAATGTCCAGTGGCCTGACTCAAGGCTTCCTAAAAATCTCCATTTCCAAAACAGACCGAGGACATGGGAGGATTTAAGCCTTTTAGGCCAAGACATCAAATAGGGAGCACTTTCCTGACCAAAGATTAGCTGCACTTGATCACAAGCTGCCCGCTCTGCCAAACACACAGAAATACTGGGAATGGAACCCCACAATTTGATCATACACAGGCTTTTTCGAAATGTCAGGGAATGATTCATCTGCTAGAACTGCCTTTGATTAAAATGTCTCTGGACTGCGATCGGGAAGACTGAAGATGAAAGCAGGAAAGGAAATATTTTTTTCTAGGTCACTTTCAAAATATTGTTGCTTCTACATTTGCAAATCTTTAGTTTTATGTAGTCCTTGTGCTACCTTTGGGCCATTTTATACATGTGGGACAAAATCTCATTAAAAGCCTACACAATTATCCCATCTGCCTCCTGTGTTTGCTCGTGTTTTACATCCTGATTATAAGGAATTGGGAGGGGAGGAGACGAGGAAGCACCGCAGTATTTGTCTTGGTTTATTTATCCTGTCTGTTCACTTCCTGCTGCTCTAAGTCACACTCGAAGACCCCTTAAGACCTTAAAGTCAACTGTCAAAGTGGCGTGCACATCCTAAAGCTACACAAACACTGCGAGTCCCCCTGGCACCAGCTACGCTTAGTATGATTATGCTTAATGCTTCTCTCAACAGTAAAACATGGTGGCATTGATTTTTTTTATTAAAACTGTTGAGCAATGAACTTTCATCTGTTCTTTAGTTCACTTAACCCAAATGATCGCACACGTACACGTCTGGAGAGAGGGATGCATTCCCTTACATCACGATGGTGCACTAAGCCACGAATGCTCGCACGCATTTCTGCTTGCTGCTGTGTTAATATTTCAGTGGTGCTTGACACACTGAACTACATTCGAGTGCAGGATGAGACGAGCTGCAGGGGAAAACAGCTGAGCCCCCAGATGAGGGGATTCAGCAAGAGAAGGAAAGAGAGAGGGAAGACGAGGGAGAAAATAAACTGAGGGGAGGGAGGGGACGAGAGTATGATTATGCCCATTGATCTGTTGGGAAATACGTTTCCTCTTTTGGTTTATCCCTTTTCTCACACGTCTGATCCTGTCTCCATCCCCCCGTCGCTGCAGCGAAGGGATTTTAGGCTTAGTTTATGGAATAACAAGAAGCAATCTGCTGTAAAACTACTAAAACTGCAAAGTCATAAATCTCCTCTTTGAGGCCGTGTCTGTTTATTTTTGGCGACTTTTGTTGCAACTCAAGCATGTTTACTATCATCTGTCAGTCATCACTGAACTGTTATTACTGAGCACCAACAGTAAGACGTCGCTCAAGCAAGAAGTGGTCATTGGTTTAAGTGTGACAGCTGGTCATTGTAAATATTTTGTCCCCGTGCACGTAGGAGCACGTCTGCAACGTTGTGTTGAGGCGCTAACAATTTTGCCGCGAAGGTACTACAGCATGCAGGATTTCTTAAAATGATGAAAAAGAATGAATCTAGTGCATCACGCGGCACATTTTAAGGAATGAACACCTGAATCAAACTAGTTTCCTGTTGAGCAAAGTATATATGTAACAGTATATAAATGAAACACTTATGTCTATGAGGTTGTTTGAGTTAACAGGACGCCCATTCATGAGTTATCAATCACACCGTGTGTTTGCTGATAATAAATAACAGCTCAAAGGCTCTTTTTCCCGTTAAAACAAGCAAATCTTTGGTTTAAATATAGTTATGTGATGTTTTCGTTTATTGTTGTGCTTCATTTTGAAGCTGTGGATTTTTTGGACTGTGGATTTTCAGTCAAAAAAGTTTGATTACATGCCCCCAAATTGCTCGAGAAAGATGTTTTTGGGCTGCGTTGTGCAAGAGAATTGTAGTGCGGTGTAAGGGCGATAAATTATTAAGGTCAAACAGGGGATCGGTGGGTCATTAGATGTAGTAATATTTCTCTGTACTGCCAGTCTTCACAAAAAAAGCTGCTAGGTAAAAAAAACAATATCATTTATTTTAAGAAAGAGGTTCACAACTCCAACGCACTGTGACACACACTGTCTTAATATAATCAATCCTATACCATAGAGGACATCTGTACTGTGCTTCTCTATAGCTCACAAATGAAGTGGTCCTGTAGCCTCCAGCAGTAGACAGTTGGACTGTGTCATCCATACTAAATCATGAGTCAGAGCTCCAGGCAAGCCAGTGAGACTAGTGGGTGGACTGAGGTGGGGG